CAAGCGTATCACCGAACACTTACCAGCATGGTTTTACAAAGGAGAAAAGCGATGTCCCCGCAGCTCCATCTTAGAACACCTGATAGAATCCGGACACCAAGCTGCACCCCAAACAAACTTCAAAGTCGTCTACAGAGTAAGAAGTAGTCTTCCAAAAGGTGTACGAATCAGACTTCTTCAAACTGCAGAAGCAATGGCGATTCACTTGCTAAGCCCTGAACTCTGCATACAGAAGAGGTTCGTTCAATCACTACACTTACAATGGACTTAACCTACCTTATTACCTGAAAGGTAAATTCTACCTAATTTTTTCTTTTTTTTCTGTCTCTTCATTGGTATTATTCTGTCTTCTTAATTGTAATATTTTGCATTTTCAACTTTCTTGTTCTCTACCCCTACCCGATTTAATTTCTACACCTCACTACCACTTTAATTGACCTGACCAACGCTCAATTTATAGTCATTTATGTTACGTCATCCAACTTAATTGCTCAATTTCATTTCTAATCTAAATGGCATTATTATCTACCCCACTTCTACTTAGTCTCTACCTGTAATTACCTCTGTTGCTAACCTGACCTAAGTTAAAACATTTTAGTCAATTGTATTACGTCATCTAACTTACTAACTCAATCTTACTTTAGTTGCTGTCCAATTAACCTTGTTTCTATATTAGATCATTCTTTTATTACCTGATCAATTATCTAATTTTGACAAACCTCATGTACACACACACACACACTCAAATAATTATATATAAATGCGATTGTACAGCTATGTGAATGAATTCGCCGAAAAGAGTCTCTTCGCTGAACGTCTTCTGTTTTTCATATGACTAAATAAGGATTTTCAAGATACTTCAAAAGACTTTTAAATCGACCGCCACCTACAACTCACCGAAAAATACCAACAACGGAAGCAGAACTACCAGTGAACATCGACCCCCGAAAAAATCAGAAGTCCTGAAGGCAATCAAGATGCTACAAGCTGGAAAAGCAGAAGGACTAGATGGAATCCCAGCAGAAGCATTGAAAATGGAACCAGAGACAACAGCGGACTTGATGACGCCACTGTTAGAGAAGGTGTGGAAAGAGGGCAAATTACCCGAGGATTCGAAGAAAGGATACTTATGGAAACTACCAAAGAAAGGAGGCTTAAGTCAATGCAAGAACTGGCATGGAATTATGCTCCTGTCTATCCCAAGCAAAATACTAAGCCGCATCATCCTGGAGAGAATCGAACAAGCCAACCTGGATGAAAAACTTCGACCGGAACAAGCTGGATTCAGGAGAAACAAGTCATGTATAGATCAAATCGCCACACTACGAATCATCATTGAACAAAGCTATGAATGGCAGTCGCCTCTCTACCTCACTCAACCTCATCGACTTTGAAAAGGCCTTCAGCGGACAGCGTCGATCGAGAGGTGATTTGGCAACTACTTCGCCACTATGGGGTGCCATCGACAATTATACATCTCATCCAACAGTTGTACGACAATGCTTTATGACAAGTAATCCACAACGGGAAACTTACGGAATCCTTCGAAGTGAGGACTGGAGTAAGGCAAGACTGTCTAGTATCGCCAATGATTTTCCTGAATGCAGTAGATTGGATAGTGCGACAGACACACAGCGGGCAGCGAGGAAATAGGCATAAAATGGACTCGATGATATATGTCTGATTTCCCACAAACTGGGAGATATGCAAGTCAAAAGCAACAAGTTGGCAGAACAAGCATCAAAGATAGGACTTCAGGTGAACATAGAGAAAACAGAGATGGTGAAGATTCCTGGGCAACACCAACAGCAGCCATAACAACAGACAACAATAACCATAAATGGGAGGAACGTGAAAGAATCAACCTCCTTCACCTACCTGGGAAGCATCGTTTCAACTACAGGCCGACAGAACTCACGAGGATATCAAAGCAAGAGTCGGAAAAGCAAAACAAGCTTTCATTACTCTCAAGTCTATATGGAGGTCAACAGCACTCAGCATGAAAAATAAGATCCTGATTTTCAACTCCAATGTGAAGTCAGTGCTACTATTCGGATTACAGACTTAGCTAGAGCATCACGAAGGCCACTTCGAACAAACTACAGATCTTTATTAACAGTTGTCTTCGCCCAATACTCAAAATCAGATGGCCAGAAAAGACCAGCAACAGGGATGTCTGGGAGCGAATCAACCAGGAACCAATTGTGAAACAAATAGGCAGGAAGAAGTGGAGGTGGATTGGCTGGCCATACTCTGGGAGAACAAACCATCAAGTGACATCACACGCCAGACTATCACTCGAGTGGAACCCGAAAGGGAAGCGGCGAGTTGGTCGTCAGTGTAAAAGTGACTTGGAGGAGGTCGTGTGAAGAGGAGATGAAAACGTGTGGGCAGACTTGGAGCGGGTTGAAAAAGTTGACAGAAAACCGATCGCAATGGAGACGCGCGGCTGAAGCCCTATGTTCCTCTAGGAATTAAAGGAAATAATAATAATAATATCTGACACTTGTATATCACTGTAATTACAGATACACCGATATCGATGTTTATGAGATTAAATATTTATCTGAGCTGAGATTGAGGTCTTAGTGTTGACGTTCGCATAAAAGTGTACCTGTTCATGTTGTCACATTTCATAAGGACACAAATGTAAAAGGAGAAATGCCAAGCAACTACAATCAACAGAAATGTACGGAAGAAAGAATAAATACATGGAGGATAATGAGAATCTGATCGGTCTAGGGGGTTCATCAAGAGTAAAAGAAATACATCTGCGCTATTGACAACGACTTTGGACAGTAACAGCCATCACCCATTGGTTCTTACAGTCTCCAGGACCTTCCTATGTGGCTAAAACGAACAGTCGAAGACTTCATGGATCGATGACAGGTTTTGACTTGACCACCACTAAACGTTCACCAACCTAAAACAACATTAGCTAGAATTGCTCGGGGAGGAAAGCGGTGGCTTAACATAGGTACCACATTTCTTAGTCATCTCAATCGATACATCTTGGCATCATTGACCTAACTGACCTCCTTACCTAACTCCAATATTACTCATCATACTGTGACATTCAACACGGGAGATAAAACGCAGACACCTACGATAAAAAACAGCTAGTCGCTTTAGGTATCAGACTCTTAACGACCACGTCTTATAACCAAAAAGAAGGACACAGAGAACTTCCGCACAAAGTATACGTCTTTTGATCAATAATCGGACATCATATACCTACGCCAGAGATGATGTAAATTGATACTGAAAATCAGCACTTCTATGATGAATAACACATACTGTTCAAACACTTTCAAAGCAACACTTGAGAATTAACCTAATGCCCACTAGTGATTGACTGAATAATAAAGTTATCTGGAGTTTAAATGGACATTCCTGACCAGTGGAGTCCACCAAGTCGGTAATGACGACAAATACTCGCCAATGACATTGACTAGTAGTCGCGCTATACATATACTATGGTGAGAGCTGGCTGTTAGCCAAAATCGGTGGACAGTAATTTACGTCAATCTTTATGTCCCCAATATTGGTCGTGAGAAAAATAAGAACAAAGATTTTGCGTAGGCGGATACAGTTAGCATATAGATGATCTGACATTCAAGAAACAGCCACAAAGAGATGCAAGGTTAACTTTCTGTGAGAAACAACCAATCAGAGGACTGTTTTTCTGCTAACAAAAATCTATAATATGTACATGAAGATCTATAAATATGTGTTGATTTCTTTAATAAACGATCCGTTGCCTGGCCCTTGTCTTCTGTTGTTACAATACAACGAATTGGTAGAAGTTAAAATTCATGGACCATTGGATTATTTCTCAGTGGCTTAATAGGCGACAGGCTCATTTCGTAAGTTCAACCCCAGTGATGTCACTGATGCGTCCTGAGAAAAGGTCCAGACTAGGACGAAATGGCTGTCTATACTCCACGGATTTCACTGGTTCTCTAACTAGTTTCAGTTCATGATCGAACTTGAAAGCAATCGCATTCCTGCATAACCAACACTTGAAAGAGATGTAATAAGACATCTGAAAAATGTATATACTTTAGACCACATACAACATACCTAGAGATAAATGATGCATGTCACACACACGCACATACACCAAATGAAATAGGAATGAAAGGTTACTCAGAACCTGCTCGCATATGTGTGAACACGTGTTGTGTTAGGCCTTATCAGACTGCTTAACTAGTCACACCTAAATAATTGAAGAGAAGTTCGAACCTGTGGCCCATCGGTTGAAAAGTGAGTTGCTTAAGAAACAAAGTATGAACTACAGATTCACTGGAATGGAAAAATCTTCAACCAAACTTTTTGCGTCACACTCAAAACAATCAGAGTCTCAAATTTAAATTCCTCGAATACACAACGCTGAATTTTATCAGATATTAGGTGCCAAAGTATGCACGGAAATGGAGATTAGTTTGAGACGAATGGTCGATCCATTTAGCAAATGATTAAACTGTTTGCTCAAATGATTCAACTCAGTTATACTATAAATTTTTTTAAATATATTAACAATGGAACATAAAAAACGAAAAATGAGATTAAGGAGAAATAAAATATGGCGTAATTTAATAACCTTAAGTACAAAATTCTAATAACAACCCACTAATGTGGGCTGTGTCATACGTAATTAACATTTGAAGAAACAAATATAAAACCGAAGATGTACACACGGAGATACATGTGATTAACAACCATCTATTAAACAGAACACTTGAGTCGGTGGCTTAATGGTAGAACGCTCACCGACCATGCATGTAGTGTGGGGGGTACGATCCCCGGATGATGCATTCCTTTACCTCGTTAAGCCGGTAATAAGACCGGTAAACAGGGAAGGCTGAGCATGAAGGCTAGCAACCCACTCCGTAGAAGTAAACACTGCTACCGAAACTTCAAAACTCTAGTTTGAAGTCCTATGTTCCTTTGGAAACGTAAAGGAATTAAACAAACAAAAAAAGAACAGTTGCACTAACCTAAGATAGCCATAGCAATTGGACGACTTGTGAAAACATTGTAGTTCTTTGGATCAGATTTACGTGAACGCTAAAACAGAGGAAATTTTTTTAAGAAAAAAAAACGATTTTTACTCAGTAAATAACAAGCATAACTATTTTGTCTAAATAAACTTCGGACCAAATGCACTAGTGAAAGCATAATACAGCGTATTACATATTAAGAGTAAAATAAAGGGGATGGGGAAAACTTAAATATCAACAGGGGGTAAATAGGCTGCAAATTAAACATTGTATTAAAATCGAAAAATTCAAACTGAGTCGTATTCACAGTTTACATAGTTCGAAGTGAAATTTCACCAAAGTTTCCCCTGGAAACTGCAATTATTCAGACCACAATATGTGATCTACTTGACAGTATAATTGGTAATCAAGAAGGCAAGCATAATTGATTGACTGAGATGAGCAGAGGTGAGATCGATGCGATCTAAACACTGCATGGCCGTCTCACTCATTTGGTCCCTAGCTCATCAACGGTGTACCCGGTATCACTGGTTTTCTGAAATAACTAGCAAGAAATACAGTGGTTTGAATCTATTCTGCTCTTTCTCAGCTAAGTTAAACCGGGTCCACCATTGATGGGCCCCAAACGAGCGAAACGGTCGTCTGGTGTTTGGATCACTTCGATGTGGCTAGCAAGCACTACTGGTTGATATGAGTGCTATACAACTTATAGCTTCATGCAATCTTACCTGGCTTTAAGAAAAATTAAACGGTTGACTATGATTTTAAACTACTAATAAGGCAATTGTAAGCAGTATACCATATGAGATATCTTCTTCAAGTATATCGAATAGCGGAACGACAGGTTAAATTGTGGAGAGGAGAAATGAAAGATCCATTGTAAAACAGTATAGAGAGCGTAAAAAGAAGACGAAAGAAATACTAAAATCGAAGAACATATACAAATGGAGATTTCTATATTAGAATTACGCATTTAGTGGAAATAGCTCAGATAACTGAAACCTGAGCTTCTCCATCAACAGAAGAAGTCTTAAGAAAATCGTCTCTTTCCCATCCTTGGGTAGCATCGTTCCAACTACAAGCGGCACAGATACGTATGTCATAGTGTGGTGATAGCTGTCTTGAAGCCAAAATTGTAAAAATCAATTTACGTCAATGTTTTCGTCTCAAATCGGAGTCACGAGATAGAACAATAACAAAGCTTAACCTTGAGGAACTCAACAACCAATCACAACAGACTTAGCGTGGGTGGATACAATTCGCAGATATATCTCTGGACTATCTAAGAAACGATAACGAAGAGATGACAGAATAACCTTCAGCAGGAAAACAACCAATCAGAAGACGTTGCTTCTCTGCTAACAACAACCCTAATAATAATGTACATAAAAATCTATAAATATCTGTTGATTTTCTCAATAAACGATCTTTTGCCTGGCCCTTCTCTTCTGTCCTTACAACAGGAAGATCCGTAAAAGCAAAACAAACCTTCATTTATCTAATATCAGTGTGAAAAAACCCACGGTATTCAGCAAAAAGAATTAAATCCAAATTTACCACACCAAAGTTAAGTCAACACCACTACATGGTCCAAAGACCTGGTGAGGGAGTTACGGAAAACATTCCCAAGACGCTGCTACAGACTTTCATCAATAGCTTCCTTCGCGAGTTTGATAATGGAGATTAGATGAACGGCCAGTAATAACTCTATTGACCAACAAATACGCCGAAGAGAATGGAGATAACCTGAACATGCACTGACAAGACTATTTCAGTGAAATCACACTCAAAGTATGTCCACAAGTGAAACCCTAATAAAAATCGATGAGTTGAGCATCCTGGAATGACTTAAAAAAAGATCATATGAGAAGAAAATGAAAACTTGTGGGCAGCTGTACATTCATCAGAGAACATAACCCGTATGGAAAGAAATAGGGATTTAATGAATATGGGAGGTTGCAAAGAGTGAATGCATCTGAATGCACTTGGAACGATCTTGAACCAATTGTCTCAAGTCGTTGGTTCTTAGAATCCCGAGGACACCGACCAGGTACTCTACACTTTTTTTACTTGGCCCAAAATAATTGTTAGAGACTTCACAAACTGGTCACAGGTTTCTGTTTGGCTAATGCCACCTATTTTCCAACCTAATTCTATATCATTTCTAATTAAATTGAATTTTAGGTTTTCCCGTCGATTGACTGGACTGAAGTGCTTGGTCTCAGGTTGACATGTCGGTTTCTTGTGCAGATGCTTCGATTATATCCGGGCACTTAATTGGTATTTAACTGGTGGATGGTGACTAGCAGTGGAATCCAGGATTCCACACATTTCGTCCTATTTTGGACTCGCCATCCTCTGTTGGATGTACCTGCATTTCTCAGTGAGTGATGATTTTCCCCGCACCGAGTCTCCAACCCAGTGCCCATAGTTTTAAACGCCAAAGCGTTATCCACTAGACCACTTGGGCCACAAGAGCAACCTCTATATCAGCTAACATTACTTGTTGAGGAAGGCGATGGCTCGGCATGTCTGTCTGTCTGTCTGTCTATTTTCGACATAGAACTTTGCACAAATGTGCGGAAGTTCAAGTCGCCACATTCCGTGTAGCACGCGAAGCAAGAGAAGAAAGTACAAGAAAAGCATAATAGAAACAGTGAGCAGAGGTGTGAGACAAAGGAGTAATAAAGAAAAACAAAACAGTTTCATTGGAGATCATAAGTCACAAGGAGTGGATGCATCTGCGCCACTGAGAACGATTTTGAGCCATGTCACCAATTGTTTCCAACCATAGATTTTTACCGTCCCGAGGACCCCAGCCTGGAAGTCTACACCTTCCTACGTGGCTTAGACCAACTGTTGTGGATTTCATTGACTGGTGCCAAGTTTTTGTTTGACCGCCGCTAGCTTTTTTCCAGCCTGACCCTATATCCGCTAACATTGCTCGTCGAGGGAGGCGATGGCTTGGCATACGTAACACATGTCCTAACCATCTCAGTCTTTGTAACTTCACGACTTCGTCGATTGATTTCCCCTGTTTACCTAGAACTCGACGCCTAACCTCAATGTTGCTCACCTTATTATGCCACTTTACACGGGAAATAGAACGCAGGCACCTATGATCAAAGACAGCTAGTCTTTTCATGTCTTCCACTCTCAGTGGCCAGGTCTCACAACCATAAAGGAGGACGGAGCGGACTGATGAGCAGTACACCCGCCCTTTGGTCGATAGTCGAACATCTCGTCTACGCCAGAGTCGGCGTAAACTGACAAATGCGAAACGAGCCCCCTGTATTCGTGCTGAGATTTCGTCAGAGATCAACCCGTTGGCATTGGCTGATGGTACTTCCCAAATAAGTGAAGCGGTCAACGTGCTCTACCACTTCACTTCCTATTTTTAAACTAGGCGTCGATGTAGTCCAGTCCTGTAACATCATCTTGCATTTGGCGGGAGCGAATCGCATGCCAAACATTCGTAGATTGCAGCTCAAGGTGTTTAGAAGACTCTGCATTTTGTCAGCGTCTTCGCCTAGAAGGACTATATCGTCTGCATATTCCAAGTCAACGAGATTATTCCCTGGTAGCAAGTCAATCCCTGAGTCGCTGAAGTCACTTAGGGTTAAGTCCATTAACACATCTATGATGAAGTTGAATAGAAAAGGGGATAATGGGCATCCTTGACGGACACCACTGGTCGTCACCAGTTCAGATGACAGCTCGCCGTAAGCCCTCACCTGGCTGTATGAGTACGAGTAGAGTGCCTTAATCAGTGCAATATATTTTCTCGGAATTCCCTTTACAGCCAAGCATCTCCAGAGAACTTCTCGATCGACAGAGTCGAATGCTGCCTTTAGGTCAAGAAATATAATGACTGTTGGACGCCGGTAGGAATGCCTATGTTCTAGAATCTGTCGGAGGGTGAAGATATGATCAATACACCCTCTTCCTGGTCTAAAGCCTGCCTGGCTCTCTCGTGTTTGTGCCTCCCGAGCACCACTCAGTCTACGCATGATTATTGAGCCTAAGACTTTAGATACTATATTAGTCAAGCTAATCCCTCTGTGATTATCACAGGAAGACTTGTCTCCCTTCTTGTATATGGGGATAATCAGTGACTTACACCAACCCGATGGGACTTCTTCTGATTCCCAGACGCTGCCTAGTACCTCAGTTAATGCAGACAGTAAGCTGTCTCCACCGTACTTAAATACCTCTGGAGTCATTCCATCAGGTCCCGCTGCTTTGCCTAGTTTCAGATTGGTGACAGCTTTAGTAACCTCAGTTAGGGATGGAGGACCTGTGTCTATATCCCATTCAGGGAGGTGTTGGATGCTCGGAAGGTTGAGCGTGGCTGTGGGCCAATTAAACTGCTCCTCATAATGCTCTTTCCAACGATCCAGTCGTCTATCCTGGGAGCTAATTATAGTGCCATTTTTTTCCGAGATTGTTTCACTAATGATTTGTCTTCTCCCACCCGTTTCCCTGATGAGTCTAAAGAGTTGCCTGGTGTTGCCTATCCTCGAAGCTTTCTCCATCTCTTTGGCTTTTGTCACCCACCACTGTTCACGGTCCTTGCGGAGACTTTTCGTAAGTTTCTTTTTGTGCAGCTTTCGCTCCTCATTGAATTCGGAGCTCGCCGGAATAAGTCTTCTAGCATCTATCAGTTCGGATGAGGCGGTGGAGATCCAGTGGTTTTTACTCACCTTTGGGTTTACCTTATTCACAGCTTTTACAGCTGTATCTATGGCTGCCTGGATATTTTCCAAGCTTCTTCAGGGTGAGCACAGCTGTCGAACACAGATATGTGTTTAGCTAGTTCTTCCTCAAATAGGGATTTAGTTTCCTGATCGAGCTGGGGACGTGATGGTTTTACCGCCAGCTGTTTCCTACGTCCGTTCAGTCGTAAGCACACACGAGCGCGGACCAGTGCGTGGTCGGTATCTACACACGTGTTCCAGAAGGAGCGACAATCTCCTACCGACCCACGCCAACGATAGCTTATTGCTATGTGGTCTATTTGTGTCCAGCGTTGGTTTGATGAAGGGGGTCTCCAAGTCAAACAGTGTCTCTCCTTGTGTTTGAAGTTAGTGCTTACAAGAAACAAATGATTATCAGAGCAGAACTGTAGGAGACGGTCACCGTTGTCGGTTCGCTGGCACGGAACTCCATAGGTGCCACCGACATCCTTCTCAGATTGACACAATTTCCCTACTTGAGCATTAAAGTCACCAGCTAGAACGACTATATCTGAGCTCCTATATGAAATTGGTGGCGTGGCTTTAAGAGGCTGTCAGTGGTGGTTTTTTGGCTTCCATCGCTTTTAGTGGGTGCAGAGTGGAGAGGAAGTGGAGAGCTATCAAGTCGAGGAGTTGCATCAGTGGAATGAAGGCAAGATGATAGAGATGAAGATGAAAACAAAGATGAGTGAGTAATAGAGAGGTTTCGCGTGCGTTTCGGATTGTGAGGGCGATTGTTACTTCCCGGCTGCCCACACCGTGGAAGTTGATTGCGTGACCGCAGAGCCCAGGGGAAAACTGCTTGAGGCTCGGCATACGCACCATGTAACCTAACCATCACAACCGATAAAAAACAACCAAACAGTTCATTTTGTCACAGAGACAAAACATAGCTACAATATGATTCAAAGTAATCAGCAAATAATTGCAAAAATTGTGTGCATGTGTGTATATTACTGGATCATTGTTTCATATTTTATTTCTATGTAATCACTAGTGCTGTTTATTATACTAGTTTTAAACAACTAATTAATTGATAAGTAGGTTAATTATTAATTAATCAATAAATAATAAATTCAAATAAATGAGTGTAGTACATACAAGCAAAGTTAGATGAAATCATAGTTTAGTTAGTAAACACTAACAATAAATAAATTACGGATAATTAGCAAACTTACAGCTTTATGTATTCTAACTTTAAAACTAGTTTGAATATCATGTAACAGCGAACAGGCTAGCTGATTCTGTAGGCGAAAAAGAAAGAAAAAAAGTGAAAACAAGAGATCATCTTCACTTGATTTAAAGTTACGAAGTAAGATTAGAAAACTAGGTGCAATACTAGTCTCCCTCTCTCGTTTATACACATATTCAACTGAGTGACAATAGATGTTGAAGTGAAAACGCGGAGAGCCGGAAGATCCACACCACCGGTTATTCTGTTGCCTATCTAGAGGTCAGTTGACTGAAACTCAGAAGTCAAACGAGGATTCAATTTCAAATCAGCTGTAAAAGGTTCCACAAGGATGTCATGTGAATGTGTTTCAAGTCATTAATCACTCGTCACTATCATCATGCCTAGCCCAACCTTATCTTAAACTAAGTCATACTAGACTACGGGGATGAAGAAAATAAATGATTATTCGTGAAACCTTATTTTGGTTGGTGGTGAGCAGTAGTGTTATCCAGGATGTGTATTTCGTTCTACTTAGAGCTCGCCATCTGAATGTACATGCGTTCCCAGTGAGTGACGGTGTTTCCACGGAGAGTCAACCCCCTTACCCATCGTTCCAAACTCCAAGTCTCAGTGAGGACACATCAACTCGCTGGGAATGAAGGTACAATCAACTGGCGAGTCCCAAATGAAACGAAGTGAGGGTCCTGCATTTTACTGTTTGTCACCACCAACTACAATAAATTCAAGTTAATCTTTAGATATCGTCAAAGAATCCACAGAGAATATAGGACATTTCAACTCAGCATAATGAATCAAAGGGAAAGAAATACGAACGAGACCATTTGATAACAATATTTTATAAACTGATTTTAATGCACTGAAATGAAAGACCAGTGACTTTTGTGGATTCCGACGGGAATCTGTTCTAGACAGTACCACAATTTTACAGATCAGATCCATTTAGTAAAACATTAAACTGGTAATCTAGAGGTGGACGGTTCCAAGCATACTGTTCAATACTAATTTTTGTTTTGGAAGCTCAACCATGATTTAATTATGGAAAATACCCATCCAGGCATGAATATAAGAACAAAAACGTTCAGCGGAGAGTCTCTTTTCAGCGAAATCATTCATTAAGCTGTACAATCGCATTTATATATATATATATATATATATACATTAGGATTATCAAACAAGAATACAAATAAAAATAGTTAGGGTTACTGTTTACGTCATCAAAATATTTCTAAAATGTGATGAATAATCAAAATTGTAATCAGAAGGGGTAGGGTGAAGACTGGTAATTTTTTTTATTTTTTTTTTATTTTTGATTACAGCTTGATTCCACAATGTATTTTTGTACAAGTACGGAATTTTCAGCATGGATATCGGTAGCCCAAATTTCGCAGGCCGACCATAGATATCAGGTGTGCGTCGGCGAGGGCTCGAACCCCGGACCATAAGCATGGTCGGCGAGAGTCCTAACCACTGTGCCACCGACGCACAGACAAGGGTTGCGTAATATGAAATAGGATGTTAATGAGGATCCATGTCCAAATATAAATTACGTAAAAGGTAGAGAAAGTGAATAAAGGGTTGGTTAAGAAGGAAATGTCATACAGAAACTAAAAAAAACAAAAAAAATAAAGAAAACAAAACATTAATAACAAAGTCGTAGAACTTGGAATTATACCCAAGGTAGAAGGAAGGGGTGGAAAAGGTTCTTCTGTGTGCATTATTCAGGGTTTTCTATCTGTATTGCTAGGGCCGCGGTAATGCAGAGTATACGGAAGCTTACCATTTTCGGGAGGCTTCTTTTGATTTTACAGATGACTTTGAATGAATTCTCCTCGTATACTCAGTGACCAGTGTTGAATATATATTCACTTGCAGCAGTTCTTACTGACCCACTGTTATCTTTTTGTAGCCAAGCAGGATAATGTTCTCTGACTATTTTGGATAAAACACGTATCGACCAACCCATATATCTCGCTTCACATTAGCAAGCACACTGTTGGATACACATAGAAGTGGTCAAATGCGATAGTTTATCTTTGGAATTGTTGAAGAACAATAGGCGGCTTGAGAATACCAATAGTAATGTAGCAGCAGGAGATGTTCTTTTCAGGGCGTTAGATATTCTTACCTTTAAGATGTTGGCCAGAAGGTCATCTTTGAACTCCATATTCATGTATATCGTCTTCGGCAGAGAGATGGGTTGTTCTTTGTTGATTTTCAGCTTTATATGTTTATCTATGAAGTGTGGTGGATAGCCAGCCGTTCTCCAGTAGTGTCTTCCTCAAAAGAGTGATCTCCTCTTCTACTGGTTTGGGGCTGCATACTTTGAGGATTCTAATTGCAAGAGATATTATCAGGTTCCGCTTGCGATTGATGTGTATCCAACTGTAAAAGCTTGTCAGCTGGCTGTTCCACCCAGGCTTCCGACACCTGTCTTCATTAACATCCTACTTCATATTACACAACCCTTGTCAATACTTACCAATCTTCACACCCCCAACTACTTACAGTTTGATAACTCATCACATTTTAGAAACATTTTGATGACGTCAACAATAACTCTAACTAATTTTTATTCTTGTTTGATAATCTTAATGTGTACACACACACACACACAAAATAGTTATATATAAATGGGATTGTACAGCTGAATGAATGAATTCGCCGAAAAGAGACTCTTTGCTGAACTTTATTGTTCTTACATTACTTAATTACACCAACATTAGTCTTGTAATCATTCGCACCGATAACATGCATAATGCTTACTAAACAAAGGTCAGCGATTGCTGATTTTTGTCCATTATAACTCATCAATGTTACAATTTAAGTAAATCTATTATTTTTATAATTCCCTCTCACTTCTTGGCCGGAAAGAATCACCAACAAGAAACTATGGGAACAAACAAACAAAACAAGAACAAACCAATCGCCAACCAACAAATATGCAGGAGAAAGTGGAGATGGATTGGACACTCACTCACTGAGGAGGCCGCTGGGTGAGATGGCGCGCGCGTCAGGCCATTGCTCAAGTGGAACCAGGCCGAAAGGGAAGCGGCGAGTGGGACGTCAGTCCAAGGGTGACATGAAGGAGATCGTGTGAAGAGGAGTTGAAAGAGTATGGACTAACATGGATGGAGGTGAAAAATACAGCAGAAGGAAGACAGAAGCAAGTGGAGACGTGCAGTTGAAGGTCTATGTTCCATTAGAAACCCAAGGGAACAATAATAATAATCTTGCATTCCAAGTGTAAAATAAAGCCTTACACATTGAAGTTGCAGCAGCACTTGTGATGTTTTTACGGGATGAGATTACCCACTCACACGTCCTTCATTTCCACGTAGCTTATTACCAGCAAGTACACTAAGTCAGGTGTACAAGCACATCGGAGATGGGAATCGAACGCAGACCATTTGTGTGATTGGAGGGGATTATACCAATGATTCACTGATTCACAATCCATAATGTCACAGCCTAATTTATTTTACTGCACTCAGTATAAGTAATAAGATCTGGATCTTCAACAGTAACGTGAAGCGACTACCTCTATGGGGTTCAGAGAATTGGCCTGCCCATCGATAAAAGCATTTTCAACAGGCTACTGTATACATCAATCAACAGCTGTCTTCACTCCATACAGAAGATCAGACAGCTTGTTGGAAATGATAGGCAACAAAGAATTCTGGTAGGCTACGAATCAATCAGCAGTCTATCGCTCAGTAGAGATCAATTTGAAACACTCAGAAGTGACATCATGCACCAGGCAGAACCTCGAATGCAACTCAAACGGAAAGCGAGCGTTCAGTCAAATAACTGAGGCATGAAGGCGATTGTATGAAGAAGAAATTACAGTTTATGCAGCAGTAGTCCTGGAGCCATCTAAAAAGGACTGCAGAAATGTGCTGTTGAAGCCCTGTTGAAGCACTCGGAACTCAAGGGAATAACAACAAATAGTGTATCGATTTTTTCAAAGAAGATTATTAAAAGCTTTTAACATACAGTGATGCACACAATCATTTATTAATTACATTATAAATACGGATATCAATGAAGTATTACTAAATAACAGCATGATTAGTGAGTGAATATGAATAGAAAGATGCTATAGAGTATCTATTTTACAAACAATAAAGTAGAACTCTGTGTATCTCTGAAGGTTGTTTATTTAACTCAGCGTGAAATTCACTACTACTATAATGAAGATATAGATAAGTTGAACAGGTGCTTTTGTTGATGATAGAGAGAAAGCAACTATGCACAACAAATGTAAAAAAATATGAATTTAATTATTGCACTTATTTACGTATTTAATTTAGAAAAGCATTACATTTCAAAGTATATTCATTAAATGTTAACAGAATTCTCAAATGCTAAGTATTTTTGGATGAAACCATGAATTAATCTGTACACCCATGACAATGATTACATATACCTCTATAGATTAAACACTCTGATAATAACAAGAAATTAACATTGAAATCTAAAGCTATATCACATTAAACTACTTTTTTTTCCTACTTCAATAATATAGGGAAATTAGGCGTACGATTAGGCAGGTTCATCATCGTATTCACGAATATAACCCGGTATGCTTAAGCAAGGGACAAACAAAAGGTATTCGCAGCTCTGTTTCAGCACATCTTGTAGATACTGAGCATAAAGTTGATGTTAGTACAGCATTTAAAAATTTCAAGTACTGCTTTTGTAGGGATTCCTTTTTGGTTGATTGGTTGGAGGATTTCATCATGAGCTGATAACACAGTTAGAGAACCATTGGAAAACCAGCTGAGAAAACTGGAGAGCTGTTTCGTCCTTGTTTGGGACTCGTAATGGTCTACGAGCTCGCTTTGTAGCCAGAAAGTACTCGGTTCTATCCCTGTCGGTGGATGCGTACTAATGAAGAGTCCCAAACTGGTTGGACAAAACAGCTGTGCAGTACTCCCAACTGGTATGAAAGATCTTCACAATATTTACGCTCAAGTTACTGTCTTGTTTAAAATGAATGCAAAAATACAAGAAGGGTTATCAGAATGCACTAAACAAGCACTTACCTGAGTAATACAGCAAATAATAATAAGGCAGAGGTGACAGCTATTCAGTGATTCTGGAGCTGAACAAAAACAATATGTAAATTACATATAGCTCTTAAGCAGCAGTATATATTAAATATTACATGTAAACTTTAAACTAATAACATGAGTTAAGTGTAAGAATTTTTTACCATGTTGAAAAACTATAAACAACCTAAACTGGCTACTAACTCAACTTAAAAGAAATCCATGTTCATGAATTTAGAATTCGAAGGTGATCAAACTTCATATACGCTCAAGAAAAGTCTTTCTAAATCAGTCAGTAGGATGTTCTTTTTGCACTTAAACTCTACTTGACCATCACTAGGAGTGAAATGTACTTCGACTGTGTGGAAGACAAGTTCCCTAGCTTCTGACCGCCTCCATATGCATTTATCTGTTCATCTACTCTTGTAGAACTATGTACATCAGTCGTAACCAGTGAATGCTTTCCACACAGATACGAAAGTACATTTCAGCATGGTTTTTACAAACGAAAAAGGAAGATTGTGAAATGCTTGTATTCTAGAACCCTTCATCGACTCCTGTCACTCAACCAACCTTGATCATGACTTTAAGATAATCTATTGAGTTCATGCTAACTTCTAAAGACAACATAAGTGTCAATGATGTTGAACATTGAATCGTTCGTTTATTCGAACTGGTCTCCATTTGGCGGGAGACAAGTAGACTATCGTTGTTTAATCGTATACTCGGTTGGCAGAAGACAAGAGAAATAAGATCAGAAGCATGACTGTATATACTATCAACGCCTATTTACAGACTTTGCCGAAAGCACAACCCATACACTTCTGTCTCGTTATCGATGGGAGAATAAACAATCACATTGATTTTCAATCTTCAGTTGTTTCGCTTTGGCTTCTATGCATAGTATTCTCCGTATTAGGCATAGTCTTCTGAAAACGTTGATAGGTCCAGGATCTTTGCGATCTGGATATTTCAAAAGAGGACCTATCCATTCGTGAATTTAAGCCAAACCTTTGTGCACAAAAGAAGCACGTACAGTCACTATTTCTACCTTGTCCCTAGATGAATAAACATTCATTATTCAACTTGGAGCTCTGAAGTTTCAGTAGCAGTGGTATTTATTTTTACGGGATGGGATCACTAGCATTATATCCAACCTTCCCTCTTTACCTGGCTTACTACCGGCTTAACAAGGTGAAGGAGTGCGTTGGCCCGGAATCGAATCATTGATCCCTTGCTTGGGTTGGCCAGTGTCCTACCACTGAACCGTCAACGCTAAATGTTGTATTCTTAAATATGATAGAGAAGATTTGTAGCTCAGGTGGATGATTTGGATGTAGTTGTGTTCTCTGAGCTGGATGATTTATTTGAGAAGCTTTCATTGATCTACTAGGCAACATCCTCACCTCAGAGCATAATTCAACTTGTTGAAGTGAGCTTTCAGATATCTTCAAGAGTTTATGAATTATCTCTCCTGGTGACCTTGTACGTGATTGGTTGTTGTTGTGTGTTTTCACACCTTCTACTCTAAGCTACTTGTATAGGAACTGATTGTTTCCTCGACTTGAACTTTGGCCCTTTGTGTGTGAGGTTTCCTTCATATCGGTTGATAAATTTTGTCTATCTCGATGTGTCTATTGATTGATGATTCACTGGAATACCAAGCTTCTAAAAATTCTCTAGCACTTTTGGTGTTTCTTCTGTCTAATATTTGAACGTTGTCCCAGTAGAATTGATGTCCATGATTGTCTGTATGCAGTGAGTGACATGACGGAGTGGATGTCATGTCTTTTGACGGCTACCTAATGTTCGTGGATACGAAGACGAAGGGGACGTCCACTTTGACCAATGTAGTGTTTTTCGCAGTTGTTACAATTTATTTTGTAGATGATGTTGGTTTTATCTTCGTTCGCTGTTGAGTCTTTTGGTCGACATAGAATTGAGTGAAGTGACTTTGTTGGTTTGTGTACGACGTCAATTCCTAAAGGTCTGAAGAGTCTTGTAGTGATTTCTGAGATATCCTTTATATATGGTAAGGCGATTTTCTTTGTGCTTTTCTTGGAGGCTTTTGGTTTGATAGGTTGGCTTGGGGGTATATGTCTTTTGATGAAGTTCCGTGGATATCCATTCTTTTGGAAGACTTTTCTTCAATTTTCCTTAAGGTGGGAGTGCTGCAATCAGTCCTTGCCCTCTTGAATAGTGTTTGTAGGCAATTCCTATTGAGTGTTATTGGATCGTTGCTATTGTAATTCAGGATTTGGTCTGTGTGAGTTGATTTTCTATAAACTTGAGTTTCTAATTCCCCTGTGGTTGTTCGCTTGACAAGACGTCTTAGTCTTCTTAATCTTACAAAATATACATCTAACGCTTATCATAGATAGGTAAACACGACTGGCTTCGCTGACGTATTTCATCACAAAAGTAAAAGCAGTCGGTAGATAACTTTTGGAAAACGATTAGTATTTCTTTTAATTTGTATAGAGCCAAATCATTACTCATACAATACTCACATACTTACTTTTAGCATCTTGCATAACAACAGAACAATATTCTAATAAATCTGCCAGTAAATTTCTTGGTTCTATTGAATGTGCATATAAAGAATCCATGTCTAAATTGAAACCATTCAATTGTCCATTAGCAGCAAAAGATGAAGTTGTATGCCGTCGACATTTACCATTACTAATATTACTGCTATTATTATTAGAACTTTTAGTTGAATTATTTGGTGAGGATAAACTCTGAGGACTTGATGATCTAGTACTACTATTATAAGTCATCGTAGTAGTAGCATTGACAGCTGTTGTCGTCGTAGTAGTAAATACTGGCACAGCTCTACCAGGTGATACAAAATGTGTTGTATCCAGATAGCCGACCATTGATTCTGTACTAACAGCTTTTAGAATTCGATAGTCTAAAGTGATAAGAGAAATAATAAAACCACTTATGTAATCAAAGCATGCAAAGGTGTGAATAACAATAAAGTAGCACAAAACTAGCAAAAACTACAGAAAATTAATTCTACAATCATATACTGATGATGATTGGTGAGGTTGTGAAGCTACATTGATTGAGACGGCTATAACACTTGTTACGCATGCCGAGCAACTGCCTTCTTCTTTGATATAGGATAAGATTGGAAAAGAGTTTATTATTATTGTTCCGTTGGGTTTCTAATGGAACGTAGACCTTCAACTGCACACCTCCACTTGCTTCTGTCTTCCTTCTGCTGTACTTTTCACCTCCATCCATGTTAGTCCATACTCTTTCAACTCCTCTTCACACGATCTCCTTCATGTCACCCTTGCACCGACGTCCCACTCGACGCTTCCCTTTCGGCCTAGTTCCACTCGAGCAATGGCCTGACGCGCGCGCCATCTCACCCAGCGGCCTCCTCAGTGAGTGAGTGTCCAATCCATCTCCACTTTCTTCTGCATATTTTTTGGTTGGCGATTGGTTCTTGTTTTGTTTCTTCCAAGCCATAGTTTCTTGTTGGTGATTCTTTCCGGCCCGGCCATCTGATCTTCAGTATAGAGCCAGCGAAGACAGTTTTTGGTTGATAAAGGTCTGCAACAGGCTGTTGGAAATATTCTTTATGACCGGCCCGCCAAGTTTCTGACCCGTATAGAAGAACTAACTGACTTGACGTTTGTATTGAAAATCCGACCGAATTGTGTTGTTGATACTGAGTGACGAAGATTTCCAGATTGGTTTCAGGTTGATGAATGTGTTTCTCGCCTTCCCGATTTTCCCTCGATTTGACATCCTCGTCCGTTCCGACTGCCTGTAGTTGAGACAATGCTCCCCAGATACGTGAATGAACGAAATAACCTCTTTCAAATCCCTCCCGTTGATGATGATTGGCGCTGGATGTTGCTGCTGTTGTTGTTGTTGGTTGGTTGGTTATTTTCATAACCTCCGCCTAGTCTATGTTCACCTGGAATCTTGTCTTTGCTGGCTGTTTCTTCGACCAGTTTGTCGGTTTTCGCTTGTAAGTCTTCGATTTTGTGTGACATAAAATATAAATCATCCACGAAATTCAGGTCTTCTAGGTTCTTCACGTCGGTCCAGGAAGACCTGGATTTCGCGGATGATTTATGTTTAAATGGAAAAGAGTTACGGGCAGTCATATCACAACCAGGCATCAATCCGTAAAGTCTTTAACAATCGGTTTTCGTCATGTAGGGAGGCGTAGACCACCTGGTTTTTGGATCCTCAGGATGCTAAGAACCAGTGATTCGAACCTGTTGACAATGGAGCAGATGCACTCACACTTCGTAATCTCCTAGATTGATTAAATCCGCATGTCTCCTTCCGTGTAACTGTTCTTTCTCCCATACATTTCTTTGCTTTATTTTTCGTACTTTTGTGGGCTACATGGAATGTCGCAACTTGAAGTGCTATACTTCTGTGCAATATTGAAACTTGGTCAGTCAGTCATACAGTCATACTGAGGAGCTAAATAAATACAAATCATAGCAAAACAACTATTTCCATGGAAAAACAAATGTAGTTTTACTGGTTACAGAAAATCGATAGAAATCGATCATCTAAGATAAAGTAGGTGAAACGGAATAATTTTAGTTCCTACAAGTACACGACTAGATATTATTCTCCATTTAAATTCCAGTTCAGAAGATAATGGTTAAATGTTAATAAAAATTCGTTAATGGATGAGTGTTTGAAAGGACAATTTATTTTACATCCTGAATATTTCAAAACAGTATCTCTGTGACTAATCTACGTAGGCTCTCCACTGATCACCCTAATCACTTCTATATTTCAGTCTTCACACTTGAGAATTAACACTATAGAGGCGAAAGCTCTGAAGAAATTTTACTACTAATAGTAGTCTGATGTATTCTTGTCAGATGACCAACTACACCACAATGTAACTAGTGAGAGGGACAGAGAGAGGAGAAGATATATTGGAATAAGGTGGAAATTTACCACAAAAATATAATACAGAAAATGAACCAATTCTGTGATCTACAGCACATTCTAAAATTAAGTAAAACTATCGAAATTTATGAAATACTCTTCTCAGAGGTTTACAACTACATATAAGATCAAAATCCCACTCACTTAAATACATATGACAAAGTTAAAATATACCAGTCCCAAGTGATACATGACCACCGACAGACGATTATAGTTACATATGGTGCAACAAAATAAACTACGCCTACTGGTCTGGATTTGTTACAGGATTCCATCATTAGCTGGCATCGGTTAGAGAACCATTGGAAAACCGGGGAGTACTGGACAACTGTTCTGTCCCAGTTTGTGACTCTTAATCGGTATGCACCAACTGCCAGGGTTAGAACCCAGGACCTTCTGATTACAAGGCGAGCTCGTATACCATTAAGCCACTGGGACTTGATCCAATGGCTTATGAATTCTAACTTCTGCCAATTCACGACATAGCGCGACCCCTAGCCAATGTCTCCCGCGAGTATTTGTCCTCTCACCCGACCTTTTGCACCCTACTGGTCACGATTTCTCACTAGAACCCCAGGTTCTTTGTAAATCCTTGGCTGTAAAGGGAATTACGATAAAATACATTGCACTGATTAAGGCACTCTACTCGTACTCATACAGCCAGGTGAGGGCTTACGGCGAGCTGTCATCTGAACTGGTGACAACTAGTGGTGTCCGTCAGGGATGCCCATTATCCCCTTTTCTATTCAACTTCATCGTAGATGTACTAATGGACTTAACCCCAAGTGACTTCAGCGACTCAGGGATTGACTTGCTACCAGGGAATAATCTCGTTGACTTAGAATATGCAGACGATATAGTCCTTCTAGGCGAAGACGTTGACAAAATGCAGAGTCTTCTGAACACCTTGAGCTGCAATCTACGAATGTTTGTCATGCGATTCGCTCCCGCCAAATGCAAGATGATATTACAGGACTGGACTGCAGCGACTCCTAGATTAGAAATAGGGAGTGAAGTGGTAGAGCACGTTGACTGCATCACTTATTTGGGAAGTACCATCAGCCAATGCCAACGGGTTGATCTCTGACGAAATCTCAGCACGAATACAGGGGGTTGTGAAACCTGGCCACTGAGAGTGGAAGACATGAAAAGACTAGCTGTCTTTGATCATAGGTGTCTACGTTCTATCTCCCGGGTGAAGTGGCATAATAAGGCGAGCAATATTGAGGTTAGGCGTCGAGTGCTAGGTAGGTGGGAGGGGAAATCAATAGACGAGGCTGTGAAGTTACATCGACTGAGATAGTTAGGACATATGTTACGTATGCCTAGTCATCGCCTTCCTCGACGAGCAATGTCAGCTGACATAGGGTCAGGCTGGAAAACAGCTAGCGGTAGTCAAGTGAAAACATAGCTCCATCAGTCAATGAAATCCACAACAGTTAGTTTAAGACACATGGGAAGATGTAGGCTTCCTGGTTGGGGTCCTCGGGACGGTAAAAACAAATGGTTGGAAACAATTGGTAACATGGCTCAAAATCGTTCTCAGTGGCGCAGATGCATCCACTCCCTGTGACTTATGACTTCCAATTAAACTATGTTGTTCTTCGTTACTACTATTCCTTTGTCTCTCATCTCTGTTTACTGTCTCTATTATGCATTTCTTCTACTTTCTTCTCTTGGTTTGTGTGGTACATGGAGTGTGGGGACTTGAACTGGTGCACATTTGTGCAAAGTTCTATATCGAAAACAGACAGACAGACAGAATCCCCAGGTAACTACCTGTCTGAATAGGGCAAGTCGTTAGTGAGCATCTTATCGGTATTCAAGTGGGTGGGTGCGTACTGATGAAGAGTCCCAAACTAGGACGAAAGAGTTGCCCAGTACTCCCAGGTTTTTCAATGGTTCTCTAACCAATGTCAGCTCATGATGAAATCCTGTAACTAATCAAATCCCTAAAAACCGACACCTGTTCTGAATGCGCTTAACAAGTTCTAGGAAATTCGACTGTATGATTGCTGTGTGAATAATGGATTAATTGGAGTTACTAAAACATATGTGGAGGTGACTTGACAGAATAGCTCGGCCGAATTAAAGAATAGCGGACAAACGCGTCGTTGAATCGCTATTCTTGAATTTTACCAATAACTGGATCTTTTAAGAGGACTGGGAATTTGCAGTAGATTAACGAACAGAATCAGAAATATAAAAGGATTCCAGGACATTATAATTTGTAATCGGTTCAGTTGGCTGATATAGTTTAACTCCTCTGCCCATATTATCTACGACTGAGCAAAATGGATGAATGAATCGCACTTTCGTTAACTGATACACAGTTACTTCAGTTCTTTATCAGGGTTATTGTTTTCTTATTTCATATTATTTTACATACCTACAACCTTTAAAAATTTAATATGAATAATAATTACACCAGTAATATACAGTGTGGATTTTGCCTATTTTACAACATGAATGAACAATAGGTTAGATTAGCGAAAGAAAACAATACACATTCTATTATGCCTGTAACCTGGTTCAAAACAGAATTACTACTCTTAAAGTCTATTTTTAAAAAAATCGTTGCCATGGTAGGATAACAAAGGAAAATCATTGAATTAGTAGAGTAACAGTTAAGAAAATGAGGAAAGCAAATTACTAAGCCATAAGTACAATAAATACTGAATGTTGTTTTATTCATTTATTTATTTAAACGCAGAAAAAACTTGATACAAAATGGTACCAAGAAAGATGCGCCACACAATAATAATAAAACAACATAGACTAAAAGTAAAAATGTAAGTAGAAAACGGATAAAGAACTTCATCTTGAAGGAAAACAGTCATGCTTAACAAGTTCAAACAGTATTCGTTAACTATCATCAGGAAGGGAAGAAACAAGGAAATTGCAACACCTTCGCCATTGATTACGATTCTTGGCCATATCCGATAACATTTCGAGCCATCGATTCGAGCTATCTCGCGGACCCCAACCAGGGAACCGTGACTCACCAACCGATCCTAATCTAGCACAAACATCCTTCATCCCACGACGCCACGTCATGGACTGACCACTCCTCCGCCTTTTCCATCCCGTCCCAGGGCTGGCTAGCGAACAGAGACCTGTACGGAAGTCTCTGGGATGACATTCGCAGCACATGTCCAAGCCACCGGAGCCAGTGTTTCCAGATGACGACACTCAATGAATGGTGATCTCCACTGTGTTCAAACACATGCCGCCGAACCTCAGAATTACTCACGCGACGATGCCATCGAACGCAAACAATCCTGAGCAAACGGCGATGATCGAACACGCAGAGTCACCGAACATCCTCAGCTCACAGGCGTAGAGCGAGACAGCCCGCATTGAAGCATTGTATACCCGACCTTTGACAGCCAGGCTAACATCGCGACGGCGCCAGAGGTGGCTCAAGTTGATGTATGCCACCCTAGCCTTCATTATACGGTTGGAAATCTCACCCGTCACCCCTCCGCCAGCACTCACACAACTATCCAGGTACACAAACTTATCAACAACTTCAAGCGGTTCACCCGCAAGAGTGAGTGCAGGTACAGGCTCCTGCCAATCTTGTAACAGTACTTTGCACTTAGATGGCGCAAAGCACATACCATACTTACAGACACTGAGTTTTGTATAACGACGTATATCTCATAAACAGTAGCAGCGAACACTTCACCATTCTTATATAATACATAGATTAGTTCCGAATACTAGGTGTTTTCAAATCCGTAATACTTCATCTAGGAATGCAAACCACACAGTCTGCAACAATTAAATTATTTTAGCGTAAAACAGTGAACAACTGTGTAAGAAATCTCTTTTAACGTCTAGGATTTCCTTGGTCGTCAATATGTTTATGTTTGAAATAATTCATCTGGAACAGGATAAGAGCCACACTTACCATGTGAAGGATAATGAGACTACCTAATAGCCTAGACTGAAGTAGCCAGAGCAGGAGTCGGACCAATGACTTATCGCCTGAGACGATCCTCAAAAATAATGGAAGTAGTTCTTTCAAGTGCAAACATCAACAAAATATACAAAAATTTCGTTTATATTCTCAATTGCTACCCGTATTGCATGTAATAAGAAGTGATTTTAGGCAGAAAATGAATTTTTCAGCCTAAGTGAAACGTGATCAACAAGTGACCATACACCTAGTTCATAGTTGCAGTTGTATTCCCTCTAATTGTTTGCTATCTGTCTTAACATATCAGTGAATTTAGCATATTCTTCAAGATCACCCGAAGACTATAATCATGGCGTCGCTGTAATGTGTTTTAACTATTGTTTGAGACAGTAGTATTGTTGCCGCTGAAGTTTCTATTAGCGGTTAGAATAGTTTCCGTCTGTGCATTCGGTTCATATAGCCCTCAATCGACTAAGTCGTATTATTACTACTTACCCAACAGTTGGATATAAATGGAAGCAGAATACCATTAACCATCAACTTCATCAGAGTCACACCAACTTATTCACGTTTTGCTGCAATTTAGAGAAAATATCGATTCATTGGCATGAAATCAGTGTGAATGTCTGCTGAGCTAAGAATAAGGAACAAGATTGGGATTTTAAACACTGATACCATATCAGCGCCAACAGGATGATCGCTGAAGAAATATCAGGTCGGATACAAAAGGCTCATACGCCTGTATACCGCTGCCAACTTACTCCATCTTTGGCTTAGTAGACGTGATATCCAGTTGTCGACTGCACAGCACTACGCTCCATCCTCCTTTGGCTCAGAGACCTGGTCATTGAGAGTGGAAGACATGAAAAGACTAGCTGTCTTTGATCATAGGTGTCTACGTTCTATCTCCCGGGTGAAGTGGCATAATAAGGCGAGCAATATTGAGGTTAGGCGTCGAGTTCTAGGTAAACAGGGGAAACCAATCGACGAAGTTGTGAAGTTACATCGACTGAGATAGTTAGGACATATGTTACGTATGCCTAGTCATCGCCTTCCTCGACGAGCAATGTCAGCTGACATAGGGTCAGGTTGGAAAACAGCTAGCGGTAGTCAAGTGAAAACATAGCTCCATCAGTCAATGAAATCCACAACAGTTAGTTTAAGCCACATGGGAAGATGTAGGCTTCCTGGTTGGGGTCCTTGGGACAGTAAACACCAATGGCTGGAGACAGTTTGTGATCTGAATCAAAATCATACTCAATGCCACAGATGCATTCACTCTCTGCGATTCATCACATCCAATAAAACTCTATTGTTCTTCCATATTACTATTATTTTTGCCTTAGATTTCTGCTTATTGTGTCTCTCTTGAATTTCTTTTTACTTTCTTCTCTTCCTTTGTTTGATACATGGAGTGTGGCAACTCGAACTGCTGTACATCGGCACAAAGTTCTATGTTAAAAACAGACAGGCAGATGTCATATCAGTGCTGTGTGTTTGGTTCACAGACTTGATACACGCACCACAAAGATCATTTCTAACAGACACAAGACTTATGAACAGCTGTCTTCATTCCATTCGGAACATTAGATAGCCATAAAGAACTATCAACAAGGAGCTTAGGCAGGCTACGTACCATCCAACCACCTATCGTTCAATAAATATGCTGTAGGAAATGATGATCCACTTGACCTACTCCGAGCAGACCGCTGAATGATATCAGACACCAAACAGATTCTTGAATGGAACCCAAACAGGAAGTGACGACGAGTTGGGCGTTCTCACGGTGCAACCGAGGAGATAGTGTGGGAAGAAAATGACAGCTTATGGACAATTATAGAGTCACATTCCCCTCTGAACCCAAGAAGATAATACATATATACATATACTAAACAATATTAACCTACCTAATATAGGATCTGGAACAATTATACTCTCCATATCTCTTGTATTATTTGTATAATGACCATTGGAATATGACAAAAGTATAGCGAAATGATGACTGCTTCTAGCCAATTCATATAAGCACAGCAAAAGTGAATCACACGGTCTGAGCATGTAAGAAAAAAAGAATTCCGATTCAGATAGGATTCAGATGACGAAAAGAAAAAGCGAAACATTTTTTAAACTTTTTTAAAATCATTTCATGAAACATTGTCAGGATAATTATATATTTTTTTCGTTACATACTCAAATATCCATGAACGACCAAAGGGCGGGTGTACTGCTCATCAGTCCGCTCCGTCCTCCTTTATGGTTGTGAGACCTGGCCACTGAGAGTGAAAGACATGAAAAGACTAGCTGTCTTTGTTCATAGGTGCCTGCGTTCTATTTCCCGTGTAAAGTGGCATAATAAGGTGAGCAACATTGAGCTTAGGCGTAGAGTTCTAGGTAAACAGGGGAAATCAATCGACGAAGTCGTGAAGTTACAAAGACTGAGATGGTTAGGACATGTGTTACGTATGCCAAGCCATCGCCTCCCTCGACGAGCTATGTTAGCGGATGTAGGGTCAGGCTGGAAAAAAGCTAGCGGCGGTCAAACAAAAACTTGGCATCAGTCAATGAAATCCACAACAGTTGGTCTAAGCCACGTAGAAAGGTGTAGACTTCCAGGCTGGGGTCATCGGACGGTAAAAATCTATGGTTGGAAACAATTGGTGACATGGCTCAAAACCGTTCTCAGTGGCGCAGATGCATCCACTCCCTGTGACTTATGATCTTCAATGAAACTGTTTTGTATTTCTTTATTACTCCTTTGTCTCACACCTTTGCTCACTGTTTCTATTATGCTTTTCTTGTACTTTCTTCTCTTGCTTCGCGTGCTACACGGAACGTGGCGACTTGAACTTCCGCACATTTGTGCAAAGTTCTATGTCGAAAACAGACAGACAGACAGACATCCTCTCTTCTATTAGCTTCCAGGTGTCTGTTGAGAGCTATCCTTTGTCTTGACTCTTCTTTCTCACCAGAACGGTTGTAGATGTCTGCTTGAACACCAACTTCAGAGAGTCTCAGTATTCTACCCCACATACTTCCTCATTGATGCTACGTAGTTTCTCCAATTTTGCTCTGATGGCTGCAGTGAAGGTATCTTTTGTAGCTTATTCTTTCAGTTGCTGAATATTGAACTTGAATTATGGTCTGTCTCCAGCTGTTCTGAGGGATTTCAGATTCAGAGAGAGAATGGTCTTAGCTAGAGTCTGATCGCCTCCTCGACTTTGTGTCCAGCAGGCTGGATCCTTACTTCCTTGAGTAGCATTGAGATGAAGTTTATCAGGTTTGTGGTGTGTCCGTCAGGTGAAAACCATATGGCTTTGTGTATATCCTTGTACTTCTACACGCTGACTCCGATTACCAAATCATTGAAGGCGCAAAAGTCTGAGAAGAGTTCTTCGTTCTCATGCGTTTCGCCCAAAGCCTCTCGACCTATGATGAACTATCTTCCTGTATTTTCTAATTTGTGCAAAGTTCTATGTCGAAAACAGACAGACAGAATGAATTACTACAAACGTAAATATCACCCTAATCATATAAAGACTAAACAATTGCCAATATGCTTGTTAATTCTAGGGATGGGGGAAAAATGCGGTTATTCAACACTAACTTCCGGTTACACAACACCTGTAGTACACAACCTTAAACGATCATTATATGAACGCGGAACTCCCATACTGGATCGTATAGAAGATGCAAAATCAGAGAAAATTTTCTTCTCAACGAATCATTTCCAAAAGTTACACAATTGTATTTATATTCAAATAGGGAAATCATAAACACAGTCAGATACCGACAGTTATGTTCTAAAAATACATTACGCAATATGGGGATATAGTCTTGAAGTGTATGTACAAGTTGGGATAAAAAAGGGAGGTTAAAATTACGTATGTGAAATGACCTATACAGTCTGAATGTGAAAAATGGACAAAAAGGTAGAGGAAGTTTTCAAATCGAACGCTTATGAGAAATTAAATGTTAATAATAATAATAATAATAATTACAGTAATTACAAAACAATAAATAAAACAAACAACAAAGTGAAGGAGCAATCATGTCAAGGATGATAATCCGGCCATGACAAGACAAATGAGAGTATTAACAAACTAGACGGACTTCACTTACCCTGGTAACTCACTTCATAATAACTCTTTGTTTTCTAGTTTTTGTTAACTTATCTTTTCATCACCCCCCCCCTTTGGTTTTTGCCTGACTCCCTGAAGAGATAACTTTTCTTGATCTGAGTTCTGCTCACTGTATTACATTATCAACTTCTCATCTGACCTCATGTGCGCCGAAATTTTAAAATTTTGATCTTCTCTTATCTAATTATGTAACTATCAATAATCGTCTTTTGTTACCACCCCAACAACACAACTGTTAATTAATTTTTTTCAAGAAACTTCTCTCTAACAAGATATATATATATATATGTCGTAACATTTTAGACACCCTGTAAATCGCAACGCCTTATTTTACTATGACGCTCTGACAATATGCTTGTTAATGGACAAAAGTTCGTTACAAGTGTACATTTTTATTTCATTAAAGAATTCAGGTTGTACGCAGCTGACGAGAACCAACAAAATAAGATGGATCCAGATTATTCTGCGCCAATATTTCTTCTTTATTTGTTCAAATTTATAAAAGGGAATCATTGTATGAAATGAGAGTATGTAAGGCTTTTGAACCAAGAGGTCCATCCAGTTTTTGATCCCGAATAGCTAATGATCCAGGTGTGTATAAGTGGTGTATTTGAAGTCCTTTCATGAGATATTGTGGAATTCAATGAATCGCTGTGAAGCGATTATACAGATGTCCGCGATTGATGGCGTCTTTAATTTATTTGCGATCGACTTTCAGCTAATGGGTACTTGGAGGTTCCAGTGATACTCCATCTACATCAAATAGGAAGTATCATTAGATCGTACACACAATAAGTGTAACTCCTAACCTAGTAAAAGAGTCCTGACAACTGAGTAAATGAATCACATTCTATGCTAGTTTATAGATGGTGTCCTTGATCCAAATGAGCACGTATCAAGAAATCTGACTTCAGTCTTCACGACTAGACATACAAAGTCATTTATCATACTTAGGATTGATGAGTGGATACTTTGAGGCTGATTAAATCAAGATGTTTTAGTTACAATCAGCTGACAAAAAATCAATACTATCAAGTTTAATTCGAATAATAGAATCAAATTGTCACAACTGGTGTCGATTAAACAAAGCTAAATCATCGGTATTCTTTTGGCAATAATTATAACAAATGGACACCAATGAGTATATAGCCACAACAGTAACACAGTGAGGTTTTTTTCTGATTAGAAAAGAAACTTTTTTTTAAAACTGCTCACCTTAAGCTGATATTAGATCCCGCATCACCAGAGACAAGCGTGGTGAACTGAAAGAAACAATTTTGATAATTTAGTTGAGACGGTTTATTAGCTAAATGAAATGCGAAACTTTATGAATTTTATTTTATTTATTTTTTTTATTTTTGATTTACAGCTTGACTCCACACTGTATTTTCGGTACAAGTATGGAATTTTCAGCATGGATATCGGTAGCCCGAATTTTGCAGGCCGACCATAGATATCAGATGTGCGTCGGTGCAGGCTCGAACCCGGAACCATGTGCATGGTCGGCGAGAGTCCTAACCACTGTGCCACCGACGCACATGTATATACGTCAAGGAGGTCCACGAGGTGCGATTTCCAGTTCTGAAGCACAAACCGAACTGTTCTACCATTGGCTGTAGTGTCTCTGTCCAATGTTAGGTATGCAACAGCTACCACCATGGTTTCGACGTAGATATGCGAAAGCTGGCGAGTTCCGGCCACGGATTCTTACAGATTTTGTGTTTCACCGTAGTTCTTCTATACGGATCAGAAACTTGGCGGATGCGTCACAAGGAATATTTCCAACAGCCTGTTGCAGACCTTTATCAACCAACAACTGTCTTCGCTGGCTCTATACTGAAGATCAGATGGCCGGGCCGTAAAGAATCACCAACAAGAAACTATGGGACAAACGAACAAAACAAGAACCAATCGCCAACCAACAAATATGCAGAAGAAAGTGGAGATGGATTGGACACTCACTCACTGAGGAGGCCGCTGGGTGAGATGGCGCGCGCGTCAGGCCATTGCTCGAGTGGAACTAGGCCGAAAGGGAAGCGTCGAGTGGGACGTCGGTGCAAGGGTGACATGGAGGAGATCGTGTGAAGAGGAGTTGAAAGAGTATGGACTAACATGGATGGAGGTGAAAAGCACAGCAGAAGGAAGACAGAAGCAAGTGGAGACGTGCACTTGAAGCCCTATGTTCCACTAGGAACCCAAGGGAACAATAATAATTATAATAATAAATTCCTTTAACCTTGCCCGCATACTGCTATGACAAGCTACGTATTCCATGGACCACTGATATCGGCTGCTTTGATATGTACGCTATTTTGATTGATTTTTACATCACCTAAAGTCTTATAACCCAGAAATTGGTTTATAGAATGAGAGTGGTTAGCTTCTGACGCTGTACTGTTGAACAAAAGAGAAGACTGTTAATACATCACAACTCCCCTTTGAAATACAGGAGGTGATGCAACCCAATAGTTAGCAGTCTTAATGACTGGCGATCGTGCTACAGTCTTATAACCGAAATCTAAGAACTGACTGAATTGATTTATTAACGTAGAATTTCGCACAAAAGCGCAGAAGTTTAAATTGTACGATTACATAAAGAAACACAAACGTAGGGAAAACAATTTTAATGTGACAAAATTAGACGATTATATACGCGAGAAAGAATGATTAGGTAACGAGTAAGCCTATTAGGTCAGGAGGAGAAATATTATGAAGTATTGTTAACATCATCTGAAAATCAGACATATGACCCTAAGGTTGATTAAGGGTCACAACATTGGACTACTTTCGGTGTAAGCTATCCCCTCAAAACACTTTTTTATACCTGAAGGCAGCAGTTCATTGATCAAGTAAAATAATTAGCGATACTGTCATTTCAAAGAGCAATCAATCTTTGTCATCTTAATCAGTCTTCTGTATCTTTCTCCATATGAGAATAGCATTCGAATGATCAGTCGTATACTGTTGTGTATTGATGTACCAGTAACAATTCATCGAAATCCCTTGATGAATCTCAGTTACAAAATTTTAGCGACTGGGTATTCAGTCCTGTCCTTCAGTGCAGTTACTACTGTAACAACAATATGAATAGTTTAAAATATGCTAAATGAACATGATCGAAGCTCTTAGTAATAAATTATCTTTTGAAGGCATAAAGTCTTCCTATACTCTGTCCTAAGGTTAGTTACCAAACTTAGTTACCGAGCAGATGCTGAAATAACTTTTGATCCATGATTTCATCGAACTGGACAGCCTTCCCGTTGTTACTTAACACTATATGCCTAATTTCAATAATACATATCGTACCGCACCATCTAACATGTGATTGGACGCCGACACCCACAACGAAAACTACAATTTTCACATCTCTTAATTTGAACGGACCCATATCTCACAGTCTTAAAGTAGGATGGGGCAAACTGCTACAAAGTACACATTAATGAACTAAGCGGATATAACATCTTTACTGAAGATCACGAAGCTGGTAAATGTTAGACGAGCCTTTTGTATTTATACCGAGATCACGTCAGTAACCGGTTCAACAATGGTAATACAACTTATCAAATAAATGAAGTGGGTGAACAATACAATATCATAATATAAAAATCTAAGTAGTTACACAAGAGACCAACCGCAAGGACAGTTTACGATATGTTTATGTACTAAATCAAAAGGGATATCCAATGTACATAAGCTTTCAACACTATAAGGTTCATTACGCCAGAGTAGTCAGAATTGGGATGCATGACTATTTTGTGACGACAGAAGACAAAAGTCAGGCAACAGATCCCTTATTGGGAAAATCAACACATATTTATAGATTTTTATGTACATTACTATTAGCGTTATTGTTAGCAGAAAAGCAGAGTCTTCTGATTGGCTGTTTTCCTGCTAGAGGCTTTTCTGTCATTTTTTTTGCGGTTTGGTAGACAGTCCGGTGATATATCTGCGAATCGTATCCACCTACGCTAAGTCTGTTGTGATTGGTTGTTGAGTTCCTCGAGGTCAAGCCTTCTTATTGTTTTATCTCGTGACTCTGATTTAGGACGTAAACATTAACGTAAATTGTTGTCTACAATTTTGTCTTGCAGACGGCTCTCACAACAATTTGACAACAGGTTAAATATGCCTTCACAACTGCCAAACTTCATTATTTCCACTAACATCAGAATAATTCTTACCGTGACTTTATATCAGCTTTTGAAGTCCTAATATACTTGCAATTTTCAAAAGTATTTATTGATAATGAGTAAGTGGTTTATTTTAGATACATCGATTAGCATAAGTTATTGTTTGGCATACCATATAGAAGCTATTATTCTACTTTTATGACATATTACTGACTGTTAATTACTTACAAATTAAAATATAGAAAAAATATTGAATATTGATATGTGCTCTGTGTATATTTATCTCACTAATGTTTCAGTCACTTAGCATACTAAACATTTATCTTCATTAGAATGCAACTAAGTCGAGTATGCAGAACCGTATGAATGGAATGTTGGACATGCTCCAGAACAATTACTAATTTTAACCAGTTGAGTGTTCAGTTAACTTAAACACAACTGCTATACATTTACTGACTACAAGACGACGTTTCTCAGAGTTCAAGTGAGAAGTCATGGCCAGTGGGGTTCAAACACATCAAGTGTAAGGATAAATACTTGTCGATGACGTTGGTTGGCGGTTGCACTACAATCGCGAATTGACAGAAGTCAAAATTAATGAGCTAGTTGTCAATGCATTCTGTCCCAGAACCTGAATGGTAAATGAGCTCACCTTGTAACCTTAACATCTTGGCTTTGATCTCCAGGATGGTCATGAGTGCATATTATTGAATATTCCAAAACTAGGATGAAACACAGCTGACCAGAATTCTCTGGTATTCAGTCGTTCTCTCATTGGTATTAGTCCGTGATCAAACACTTGACATAGTTACAACAGTTAGAAAATGTTATATTGATGCTGTATTAATTTAGACACATTATTCTAAATAATGAAAGAAACTACTAACCAAGGGAAAAAATATTTAAAAGAATGAGACTTACAAAAGATGAAAAGGAAGATAAAATACCACCTGAACTGTCACGCTGTTGTCCAAATTTTCTACATAACATGAAAAATAAATACCAAGGTGTTAGTTATGTACAGTATTAAAAAATTAATAAAAGAATTATACGGATGAGAAACTTCACTTTTTCTTCGCGAAACAGTATTTTTTCTTAATCTGTTCCTCTACTGCTTGTATAGATGGAAGTTGTTGATCTCTTCAGATAATCATGAAATTATTATTATCTCTTTAGGTTCCAAGTGGAACATAGGAGGCTTCAGCAGGACATCTCTATATTTCATCCTGTTTTCCGCAATCCCCTTTTAGCTGGCTCAGTGATTGTCTACAAGCATTCCATTCCCACTAAGACGATTTCTTCCATGTCACCAATGGATATCCAACTCGTCATTCTCTTCCTGATTCGACTACTACTCGAATTTCTGACTCACAGTGTCACTCAGCTGTCTCCTCAATGTTCGTCCAATCCATTTCAATTGTCTTCGGCATATTACTTAGGCGATAGGTTCATAGTTGATTCGCTGTTAGGGTCAAATGTTATTAGTTGGAGGATTTCATCATCAGCTGACATCAGTTAGAGAACCATTGGAAAACCAACTGGGAATACTAGGCAGCCAGCTGTTTCGTCAGCCCACTCTGGGACTCTTCATCGGTGCGCACCTACCGTCAGGGTTAGAACCCAAGACCTTCTGGTTACAAGACTAGCGAGCTAGCTCGTAGATCATTCATCAGCCACTGGAACCTGATCCAATGGCCATCCAGGCCATAAATTCTAACTTCTGCCAATTCACGATATGGCGCGACCACTTCGCAATGTCTTCTTCGATGGATAACTGTCCTCACCTTCAACCCACTGTAGCGCACTTGGTCACGACTTCCCACTGATGTCTGCTCATGATAAAAACTTCCAACCAATCAAACAAAATCCCTACAAAACCAATACTTGAAAATTAAATGCTACAACTTCTGAAAGAATACATAGTAGCTTCTTGACTCTATATTCCATAATAAGTTCGGTATTGAATACACAAATTCGTGCAAATGTGGGCGTTGACGTTTAATGGAAAAATGGATTTAAATGTTTTCCAGGTCTGTTCGAGGTGAATAGCATACAATAATGTAATAATGTATACCAATTAATGTATAGCAAACAGATACAAGTGGAAAAAGTACACACAGTAAATTCAAATATACATTTTCTAAACTTGGTACTTCAAACATACGCAATCTAACTACCAACTCAATAAAATACACAAAGAATATACTAATTAGGCATAGATATTTTCAATGAACACACAAACGTAAGGACAAGAATTAAACGCTTTAACTCAATATATAATGAATAGCAGTGAATAAGCAAACTAACAACATTCAAGAATGACCTTAATAAATCATATATTTTAATAGTTCTATTCAACCTGTAGTGATCTCTATTTATACATACATTAGGTAGATTCAATCATATATATACATATATATATACCATATATTTATGTAGTACTATATTATAATATTGTTTCCTATAGTTCCTAGAGGAATATAGGGCTTCAACCGCAGGTCTCCATTGCGTTCGGTTTTCTCCCAACGTTTTCATATGGCTTCAAGTCTGCCCACATGCTTTCATCTCCTCTTTGCATGGCCTCCTCCATGTCATCCTCGCGCTGACAAGCAACTCTCCACTCCCTATTCGGATTCCACTCGAGCTATGACCTGCCGTGTGATGTCACTCCCTTGATGGTGTGTTTTCTCAGAGCATGGTCAATCCACCTCCATTTCTTCCTTCATATTTGTTGCACAATTGGTTTCTGGTTGGTTCGCCCCCCAGAGATCACTGTTGTTGATCTTTTCTGGCCGTCCATCTGATCTTGAGTGAAGTATTGAGCGAACACAGCTGTTGATGAAGGTTTTTAGTTTATTTGAAGTGCCCTTCATGACGCGACGCCAAGTGTCTGATCCGTATTGTGAGTAGCACTGACTTCACATTGGAGTTGAAAATCCAGACCTTATTTTTCATGCTGAGTAGCGCTGTTGATATCCTCTGTCTGTCTCATTATTCAGTCTATCGCAATCAGGAAAATTATTGAGGATAGTATGCAGCCAGCTTGTCTTACTTCCGTCTTCACTTCGAAGGATTCCGTAAGTTTCCAGTTGTGGATTTACTTGCCATGCAGCACTATCGTACAACTGTTGGGTAAGATGTATAATTTTTGGCGGCACCCTGCAGTAGGGAAATAGTTGCTGTCGAAAGACTTATATATATATATATATATATATATATATATATATATATAATCGATGGTGGAATCATGGATGCAGACTGCTGAATATTCTAGGACGAGACAGCTGTCCAGTGCTCTTAGGTTTTCAATGCTCTCTAATTGATGATGTTGGTTTGTGACGAAACTCGTTAACATTTAAAGATGAAACTTACAAGTTGAACTCAGACAAAGCGAGAGCGACGGTTGAGAGTATACTCTAAAATGATGAAAAAAACAAACAAAAACAAATGAGAATCATAGTTATCATTATGCTGTTAATAAATCACATAATTTCTAATCGGATCTAAAGCAAACGATGGATTATATATCAAGATCAAATGTCATGTATAAATTTCTCTAACAACTTTAAGAAACAAATAACAGAGTGAGAGAACAGCTTAGTAAGAGTGTCAAAAACCTCCAGAGATTGAAAAAGTATTCCACTGGTTTTGATGGGATTATCTTATTCTTAAAAAAAATGTTTGGTTAATCTTACTTGAACGTAACTTTGCACACTTCATGTAGTACACAAAAGTAGAGAAAAGAGAAATTCAAAAAAGAGGAGCAATGAACAGACATGTCACAGTCACATCATTTGTGTCTTTACACGGGGTTCTTTAATCATGAAAAAGGAACAGGTACACTACACTCCGCACCAACTCAGCTGGATTTAGAGGCAGTTACTGTTCTCATTTTGATGAAACAATGAGTTGGGTGAATATCTAATCAACCAATCTATCAATCTATTCTAAGATCACGTTAACTAGAAATCAAAACACGGCTTTGTATTCAGATATGTGAGAAATCAGATGAAGTATAAAAGCCTTCTGTCTAAGAAGTTTACTGAAGGCAGAGGTACCGAAACTATAATCATTAGCATTGTTGTTTATTAAAACAAGAATGATTTCAGTGGGCAATTATCTTCAATAACTTCATACATTTATTCCCCTTGATGAATTTGAATAAAGCAAGAACAACAGTGGTTTGTGCAGAATAATATACTACCATCATTTTTATTTATATTTTGTTGGGTTCCCATCAGCTGCTTACAGACTAAATAAATTATTACTAAATTCATGTACAGAAAAGTTTTAACATACTTGCAAATTTTTCATGGTCTCAGTTGACAGGAGGCCATAAAGACGAGAGGTGCGTAAAATGCTGAATGACTAATTCATTAGGTAACAATGTACTGAGTCCAACTTAGATAATAGAAACAAGAGACAAACAAAATTATACTGCATCAAAGAGGTGAGGTTAAAACCAAAGATTATGCAGTCAAATGAAAGAGAGAGAGAGAGAGTGAGCGTTTGATAGAAATTGTTTCGGCAAACTTGAAACCCAATTTATGTGTTCAGAAAGAAGCAGTTAACAGTCTTTCCTTGCCCTGGTAACTGGATGTCTTCACTCAATCTCTCTCTCTCTCTCTGTTTCCTTTGATTGCATAATCCTTGGTTTTAACCTCGCCTCCTTGATATAGTGTAATTTTGTTTGTCTATTGTTTCTATTATCTGAGTTGGACTCAGTACATTGTTACCTAATGAATTAGTCATTCAGCATTTTACGCACTTCTCGTTTCTATTCCGTAAGTCCTTTACCATTGTATGCATACATTCACTTTGCTTAAACTTGAACTGCCTGTGTAAAAAAAACTATATAAGCGTGATTTTCTGAACACTGTTCACTGATTCCAGAACCTCCAGTCAACTGAGATCATGAAAAACTAGCAAATATATTAAAACGTTTCTGTACATGAATTTAGTAATAATTTATTTAGGCTGTAAGCAGCTGATGAGAAGTCAACGAAATAAGTAATGATGGTAGCATATTATTCTGCGCAAACCACTGTTGTTCTTGCTTTATTCAAACTACCTTCAATAATTCTCTTCTTCAGGCTCGACAGTTATACATAATTGAATGTTAAAAGACTACGTCTATCTTGTCTCCATCATTTGACGGCAGTTCACCATATGACCACTATATTTTATAATCATTATTACTTTTATTTGTGATCCATTGAACTTAAATTCACCTTACCTACATTTGTTTGTTTACATACATACCAATGAATATAACTTACCCCCTTTAAACTTTTTTTTCCTTCACGTTCCCAGTGGAGCATAGGGCTTCAAGCTAGTGGCTTGAAGTTTCTGTAGCACTGTTTATTTTACAGGATGGGGTTGCTAGCCTCATGCCCGACCTTTCCTTTCTACCAGCACTATTTCTGGCTTAGAGAGGTAAAGGAGCGCGTCGGCGGGAGATCGAACCCCGGACCATGTGCATGGTCAGCGGGCGTCCTAACCGCTAGACCACCGACATTTTATCTATTCAAATGTTGGTTTGCAGGGATTTGACTTGAGTGGTTATAGAATTTCATCATGAGCTGACATTAGTTAGAGAACAATTGGAAAACCAGCTAGAAGTACTGAACAGCCAGTTGTTTCGTCAGTCTACTTTTGGACTCGTCATCAGTACGCATCCGCCACCAGGGTTAGAACCCAGACTTCAAGCCACTCATTGGGACCCAATCCAATGACCAGCCCATGAATTCCGACTTCTGCCAATTCACGACATAGCGTGAAAACTAGCCGATGTCTTTGGCGAGTATTTGTCCTAACACCCGACCGACTGTACTCTAATGGTCACGACTTCCCACTAGAACCCAAGTAACTACCCACCTGGATAAAGCCAGTCACTAGTGTGCATCAGATTGGTATTCAAATGTTGGTTTGTTGATTATATATATATATATATATATATATATATATATATATATATATACACAAACAGATCACATAATTGTTTATCCACGTTTTATTTTATATTCTTAATAACAGTACATTTCATTGCCATTTATATGACAATTAAAACTAACAGACTATTACTCCATGGTATATTTGTACCCCAATACAGTTTCTGATATCAAACTAATTTGCCTTTACTGCCTATTGCATTCTAACGTGCATGGATGTATAATTGCATAGTGCGAGAATAAGTGTAAGCTGAAATTCTGCATGTTCTGAATTTATATACACACTATGAACATATTTATATTACTAAAAACAAACAATTAACCTATCATCATCAAGTTATGATAATTTTCTGTCCAGATGATTAAGCAACAACAAACTTACATTTAACAACAATTCATCTTCTGTCTGGTGTATAAGTGTTTGAAATGAATTTACCGACTGTAAAGAAATAACAAAAGAAAATGTACAAGTTATTAGAATGTAAAAAATATATGCTGAAAATTCAATGAGAAAAAGAATTCCACTACTACTGATAATTAACATGAGACGTGTCAATGCTGGTGAACATTGAATCGTTTTTTTGCTTGTTGGTTCGAACTGGTCTCCATTTTTGGCGGGAGACAAGAAGGCTGTCGTCATACCTTAATTATGTACTGACTAGCAGAAGATTAGAGAAATACAATCAAAAGTATTGTTGTACATTATATTAACATTTATTTGCAGACTTTGGTAGTGGCTAACGACTGTAAATCTGTTTCATTATCGCTTGAGGAATAAAGTCACGTTGCCCAACAGTTTTCTATTGTTCTGCAACGGTTACAGTGTAGAGTATTCTGCATATCAGGCTTAGTCTTCGGAAACCTGAGATAGGTCCAGGATCTTTCCGATCTGGGTATTTGACAAGACGAGCAGATCATAGATGGCGATTATAAGATGAGATTATTTAACCTATTAACTTTGTCAGCCTAGTGACCTCAAGCTAACAAATTTCTGAGCTTGTCACTATACACAGTTATGGAAGTTTTGTATGGAAAAGAAAACAATTGTCTCCCCTATCTGTGAACTAATTGGTCAGAAGCATTCATGGTAGGTGCTGACGTTGTCACTGGTTAACTATCACCATGAATATATATATATATATATATATGTTTGAGGAAGACATTTCCAACAGCCACCTTACGTATCACATACTCCAGCAGACAGCTAATCAAGTCTAACGTTAAGAATAAGATACCGTTTTTGGCCCCTTCAATGTGTATTTATCAATTTACTTGTTCGTGTAGAGCAAAGTGTATCAGCCGTATGCAACGTCAAGTACACAAACATATTCTAGAACACTGTCCAGCTTGGTTAGCCAGAAGTGAAAAGAATAGCAGCAGCTCTATCCCCCGAACACCTTGTCCTCTCCGGACAACGAGCACCCCCGCATGAATGCTTCACAGTGCTACACTGAGTCTCTCAATATCCTACAAAGGAACTTCGCATACGCTATCTGTACATAGCTGAAGCATTAGCTATTCGAGATCTGAAACCCGACCCCTTTATTAAAAAGCAATACATACATTCACTCGCCACACCGTGGCCAGAGTAACGTTCTTACTCTAATTCCACCTCTTTTTTATTATGTAAGTTTACTATTACCACTGTTATTATTATAATATTATCATTGTTACTCCCATCATCCATATTTTATTACTACTCTACTACTGTTTATTAATTACATTGCGTTTTCAAACAGATTTTATATAAAACACTTTATCGCCTTTCTACTAGTTCCTGTCCATTCTACATGAGCTTATTGATTAGTCATTATATCACACTTGTTGCGTCATACCAACTTCTGCCCCTTTTCTAACTTGTCATCTCTTCTTAAACCTTACATTATCTAATACATTTTTCGAGGACAAAGTTTACTAGTATCTGATTGGTCTAAAGGTTTATTTGTTGAATATATTATTACGATTGTACAGCTAATGAAAATGAATTGTCGAAAAGAAAATTTTTTTCGCTGTTTACGCCTATATATACATATATATATATATATATATATATATATATATATATATATATATATATACTTAAAATATCTAATTCTTTGAACCCATTAAAAGACTGTAAAGTCTGACGTTCATATCCGAATTTGAAACACCAAAGTCAAGCCAGTGCTTCCATATAGATCAGAGACTTGGCACATCACGACAAGCACTTCCAACAATCTAATTCAGACTGTCAACAACAGGTGTCTCCTGCACCTTATACTGAAGGTCAGATAGCCAGTTGGAAAGGATAAACATAAAGGAACTCTGGTGGGCTACGAAACAACAATCTACTGCTCAAGAAATACGCTGAAGGAAATGGATATACGTTGAGGGGGTCACTGAGTGTAATCACACATAGTGCAGGCTCCCCAATGGAATCCTAATGGAAAACGAAGACCAGAGTGTTGGTTCGGTGGTAACATAAAACAGATCGTTTGAGCAGGGGAAATGAGTATACGGTTAATCGTGGAGTTAGATGAAGAGGACTTCAGAGAACACGATAAAACGGAGATGTGTTGCTGAAAGCGTATGTTCCACACGGAAACCAGGGAAATAATAATAATATCCTTGATTTAAAAATAACATTGAAATAATACGTCCATAACGATAAAAGTGACAGTCCATATTTTTCACTATGAGAGTTATATGTTAAAAAGACATTTTTCTTCAATTTACTGGGTGTGGTATGCACAACGGGACTAAAACCAGGGCAATACAAACGTTTGAAGTAGTTTACACAGTTATACCATGGTAATATTACTAATTAATCAATATTATGCGGATCTACACGTTAACAAATTTTCACTCCATTTGAAAAGTTAATCTTTCCAGCGGTACAACCAGTTGTACTACTCAAATGTCAGGGAATAATTAGACATACAAAAGCTTTACAACTGAGCAGCAGTTAAGGTAACTATTGAAGAAGGTATCTTTTTTCCTTCACGTTCTCAGTGGAACATAGGGTCTCAAGCTAGTGGCTTGAAATTTCTGTAGCAGTGTTTATTTTACAGGATGGGGCTGATAGCCTCATGCCCAACCTTTCCTCTTTACCAACATTATTATTTCTGGCTTAGCGAGGTAAAGGAATGCGTCGGTGCCCGGGGATCGAACCCCGGACCATGTGCATGGTCGGCGAGCGTCCTAATCGCTATGCCACCAATGCACGTTTGAAGAAGGTATAGGCTAAAGAAATTCTTTTGATAACCAGACCTAACTGCTGGCCTACGCTGTATGCATCAGTATAGGTTTCATTTTTGGAAACTGTGAGCTAGTGGAAAGTGATAATAATCGACTCTAGTTGTTACAGCTTAGAACTCATGCAATAGTATAAATGCCCCTTAATTGTAATATCACTTAGTTTTATTTACGAGTCCCGAATAGGATGAACCGAGAATCCTGGATCCCACTGCTAGTCATCATCCACTAATTAACTTCTACCCGACCGAAAGCTGCTACCTTGACGTGGTGGTCGGGCTTGAACACCGCAATGACCTAATCAAGCTATACTGGCTGAGACTTATGTCTCTTGAGGTTCTACCATGCCAGGCAGGTTGTTTGGATAGCGGTTAAACAAAAAGCAGCTACCCCATCCAATACCATGATTCAAACAAATTCACAAAATATCATGCCGGATCGGCCGTGGCCCGGATTAACAACGACCGCGCTTCCTGCTGCCGTGTCACAGGGCAGGAGTGATAAGTATGCTACTGAGGCACACCAAACAAAAAAGAACAAACAAAAACAGGCCGCGTGTGACCGGCCTCAAGCAGTTGTCCCCTGGGCTCTGCGGTCACGCAACCAACTTCCACGGTGTGGGCAGCCGGGAAGTAACAATCGCCCTCACAATCCGAAATGCACACAAAACCTCTCTAATCCTCACTTATCTTTGTCTTCATCTTCATCTCTATTACCTTGCCTTCCTCCCACTGATGCAACTCCTCTACTTGATGGCTCCTCACTCCCTCTTCACTCTGTGTCCACTAAAAACGACGAAAGCCAAAAAACCACCGATAGTCTCCTAAAGCCACGCCACCAATTTCATATAGGAGCATTTAATGTTAGGACACTTTGCCAAATAGGACAACAAGCATCACTAGCTAAGACCCTGGCATCCGAGCCATTGATGTATGTTGTGTTTCAGAAACACGCATACAAGACCCAAGTGTGGTTATTCACCTAACCCCACCTGGCCAACAGGATGAATCTTCAAAATTCACCTTGAGGGTGTCAGGAGATGCCACAGCTAGTTCACGAGGATTAGCTGGCGTAGGGATAGCTTGAGTACTAGGGCAGAAAAGACATTACTTGACTGGATCCCGGTAGATAGCCGAATGTGTGCTGTCCGTCTGAACGGATCAGTAAGAAGGAGAAAGGACTGCACTACTCGCCGATGCCTTTTCGTAATCTCCGCCTACGCCCCCACTGACTGCAGTTCGGATGAAACGAAGGATGAGTTCTACCAAAAGCTGTCTAGTTTGGTGAGAAAGGCTAAACGCTCAGATATAGTCGTTCTAGCTGGTGACTTTAACGCTCAAGTAGGGAAATTGTGTCAATCTGAGAAGGATGTCGGTGGCACCTATGGAGTTCCGTGCCAGCGAACCGACAACGGTGACCGTCTCCTACAGTTCTGTTCAGATAATCATTTGTTTCTTGTAAGCACTAACTTTAAACACAAGGAGAGACACTGTTTAACCTGGCGACCCCCATCATCAAACCAACGCTGGACACAAATAGACCACATAGCAATAAGCTATCGTTGGCGTGGGTCGGTAGGAGATTGTCGCTCCTTCTGGAACACGTGTGTAGATACCGATCACGCACTGGTCCGGGCTCGTGTGTGCTTACGACTGAACGGACGTAGGAAACAGCTGGCGGTAAAACCATCACGTCCCCAGCTCGATCAGGAAACTAAATCCCTATTTGAGGAAGAACTAGCTAAACGCATATCTGAATTCGACAGCTGTGCTCACCCTGGAGAAGCCTGGAAGAATATTCAGTCAGCTATAGATACAGCTGTAAAAGCTGTGAATAAGGCAAATCCAAAGGTGAGTAAAAACCACTGGATTTCGACTGCCTCATCCGAACTGATAGATGCTAGAAGACTTATTCCGGCGAGCTCCGAATTCAATGAGGAGCGAAAGCTGCACAAAAGGAAACTTACTAAAAGTCTCCGCAAGGACCGTGAACAGTGGTGGGTGACAAAGGCGAAAGAGATGGAAAAAGCATCGGCGATAGGCAACACTAGGCAACTCTTTAGACTCATCAGAAACGGGGGGAGAAGGCAATTCATAAGTGAGACTATTTCTGAGAAAAATGGCTCCTTAATTAGCTCTCAGGATAGACGCCTTGAACGCTGGAAAGAACACTTTGAGGGACAATTTAACTTGCCTACAGCCACACTGAACCTCCCCGCCATCCACCCACACCCGAATGGGATATAGACACTGGTCCGCCGTCTGTAAGTGAGGTCACAAAAGCTATCAGTAATTTGAAACGAGGCAAAGCGGCAGGACCCGACGGAATTATTCCGGAGGTGTTTAAATATGGGGGTGACATACTAGTTTGTAGATTAACTGAGGTACTAGGCAAAGTCTGGGAATCAGAGACAGTGCCATCAGACTGGGGTAAGTCACTTATTATACCGATATTCAAGAAGGGAAACAAGTCCTCGTGTGATAATCATAGGGGGATCAGCCTAACGAACATAGTCTCTAAAATCCTAGGCTCAGTAATCATGCATAGACTAAGCAGAACTCGGGAGGAACAGACAAGGGAAAATCAAGCAGGCTTTAGACCAGGTAGAGGGTGCATAGATCATATCTTCACTCTTCGACAGATTCTAGAACATAGACACACTTTTCGGCGTCCAACAATTGTCATATTTCTTGACTTGAAGGCGGCCTTCGACTCCGTGGATCGAAAGGTACTATGGCAATGTCTGACTGTGAAGGGAGTGCCAAGAAAGTACATTGCACTAATCAAGGCACTCTATTCAAACTCACGTAGTCGTGTAAGGGCTTATGGGGAATTGTCATCTGAATTGGTAACAACCAGTGGTGTCCGACAGGGATGTCCACTTTCCCCATTTCTGTTTAACTTCATCATAGATATGCTGATGGAAGTATGCGTCGGTGGCACAGTGGTTAGGACTCTCGCCGACCATGCACATGGTCCGGGGTTCGAGCCCACGCCGACGCACACCTGATATCTGTGGTTGGCCTGCGAATTTTGGGCTACCGATATCCACGCTGAAAATTCCATACTTGTACCAAAAATACGGTGTGGAATCAAGCTGTAACCAAAAAATAAAAAAATTAAAAAAAAATCCTTAACTGAACGTAACGACTTAGGAATCGACTTGTTACCAGGGAATAGTCTTATGGAATTAGAATATGCAGATGACATAGTCTTGTTAAGGCAGGATGCTGACAAAATGCAGAGTCTTCTGAACACCTTGAGCAGCAATCTTCGTATGTTTGGCATGCGATTCGCCCCTGTAAAATGTAAGATGATGCTACAGGACTGGACCCCGTCAACCCCTAACTTAGTGATAGGGAGTGAAGTGATAGAACATGTTGACCACTTCACCTACTTGGGAAGTTGTATTGGCACCAACGGACTGATTGGCAATGAAATCTCAGCACGGATCCGAAAAGCTCGAGCTGCTTTCGCTGACTTACACCATCTCTGGCGTAGGCGTGACATCCGGTTATCAACCAAGGGACGTGTGTACTGCTCATCAGTTCGCTCCATCCTTCTCTATGGATCTGAAACATGGCCAATACGCGTTGAAGACATGAAAAGGTTGACTGCTTTCGATCATAGATGTCTGCGATCTCTGTCTCACGTTAGGTGGTTTCACAAGGTAAGTAATGTTGACGTTAGGCGTAGAGTGTTGGGCAAAGAGGGAAAATCAATCGACGAGGCTATAAAGTTACATAGACTAAGATGGCTAGGTCACGTGCTGCGCATGCCTAACCATCACCTCCCCCGACGGGCATTACTAGCTGATATAGGTGCAGGTTGGAAAAGGGTAAATGGTGGCCAAACAAAAACATGGCCTCATCAATCCATGAAATCCTTGACAGTTAAACTGAGTCAGCAGGTAGGGAGATGCAGACTTCCGGGTTGGGGCCCTCGGGACTGACTCTAGGAATCAATGGCTAGAGACAATAGGTGAAATGGCTCAAAATCGTTGTCAATGGCCAGCGCAGATGTATTCAGTCTCTGTAATCTTTCATATTCCTTTCTACCATTACTCATTCTGTTCCACTCTTATACTTGTCAGACTGTATTGATTCTCTTCACTCATCTTCTTGTCTACCTTTGTGTGGTATTTGGAACGTGGCAAGTCGAACAGCTGCACTTCGGCGCCAAGTTCTATGTTGAATCCAGACAGAATTAACTTCTAAATACAAAGATCTTCCCAAATTTTCTAAAGCTAACTTGCCTACTGTGGGAATAACTGTGATACCACCAGTCTGTGTTGTACGTCCACGAACTCCACTGACTAGGGCGAATAGACATACAATAAACAAAACGTCTTTCTTTACAAGATATATCAGTTCACTACACTACTCCACTACTACTACTACACCACAAAGTCGATGTGGTTAAAATATGCTAGAGAGTATACTGTCTCATTGAAGCCGCAGTTTACAATAATAATTTTTCACTTCGAAATAACCATGGTAACTTGTGAAGTTTAAATCACTGGACTACCAGAATTTCCATCCATCAAAATGCTTAAACTCTTCGGCATTTCTTATTGTTTTATTCGTGCAATTATATCAAACAAACACCATATGAACTCGCGTGCATATTTAATTAGCTTCCTACAAAAAACGCTGTGCAATTCCTGAAAGAAATGAAGAGAAAACTTACAGAATTGTTTTTTTTCATATACAACAACATTACACATCACATGATTTACTTCAGATTATTAATTTACATGTAAATTATGTATGAAGAGGAAATATTTTGGAACTAAATACGCTGAAAATTTCTGTACTATCTGTCCACGTATTGTCTTGAAATAAAGCTTTATTATTATTATTATTATTATTATTGTAAAGCAATTTATTGCATATAAAAAGACTCGGAAAAGAGTCAGTGGTTCGATGGTAGAATGTTCGCCTACAGACCGTAGGTAGAATGTTCCCGACTGATAGCTGCTACCTTGACGTGTTGGTCGGGCTTGCACATCTCGATGACCCAACAAGCTGCACTGGCTGGAACCAATGTCCCTTCAGGTCCTACCATGCCAGGAAAACTGTTAGGACAGCGACTAGACTAAAAGCAGTTACCGGAATTGTGTAAGAATCTTTCTTACACTATGCTGGGGGTCTGAGGGCGAAGTAGTGCTGCTGGGGAACAGGGGTGTAACAGCAGTGAGGTGTTTCCCTCAGATGACCAGCATGCCAGCCAGCTATACTCTCCCACTATGGAGAGAGGGAGTTAGAAAAGGTCGACCCCAAAAATTGTACATCCCGACTTACCCTACGGTGGTCCGTAACTGGCGGTAAGTTTACTTATACGGAACCAATCCCAGAAACGAGTTCATACGGGCCGTGTGTGACCGGCCATAAGCAGTAGCCCCCTGGGCTTTGGGGTAACGCAACACTAACCCTCTTTCTGTTTCAGGTACCAGAAGAATCAGTCAACTACCACAGTGTGAGCAGCCGAGAAGTAACAACCGCCCACACACTCCCACTTCCACTTCACCTACGACACACGTGAGCGGACCGACTATGACTGACTGACTGGTTTCAACATTGACCCTTGTACCGATGTGAAGCAGTTCGAGTCGCTACACTTCACTTAGCACACAAAGCAAGAGAAGAAAGTAAAAAGAGACTCAAAAGAGAGATAACAAACAGAGATATAAGGCAAAAAGAATAGTAACATGGAAGAACAATATAGTTTCATTGGAAATTATAAGTCACAGGGAGTGGATGCATCTGCGTCAGCCATTGAGAACGATTTAGAGTCATATCACCAATTGTCTCCAGCCTTCATTGGTTTTTACCGTCCCAAGAACCTCAACCAGTCAGGATGTCTACACCTTCCTAGGTGGCTTAAACTAACTGTTGTGGATTTTAGACCGACTCATTATTAATCGTCACCCAGTTTACTAACCAATAGTAAGGCTGTAAGAGGGGAAATGTTGAGCGAGAGATCAGCAACTTCACCTCATAAAAACAACACTATTGCTACAGAAAAATCAACATCCTGAAGAACTATTTTCCCCCTGGGACGCAAAGAATGAATAAATAAAAGGATATTGATAAGTTAAACTGAAGAATTAGCTTCAGTATAATTGGAAAGCACTCCAATAAACATAAAATATTTGAGACCTCAAAAATGTCTTTATATGCTGCATTGATATTAAAAAGGATCCTGTCTGTATCAATACCTAAATAATACGTTAAATCAAATATTTATCAAAGGCTAATCTATAAAGTTATAACTCACTTCATCAGTTGCATACTGTAACAGCAAGCCAAGAAATCTGCAAGCAGTTACACCATGATAATATCTCAGCTGAGGATTGGTCAATGTGTTCATCACTAAATCATAAATGCGATCGTCTAGAAGACTAGCTACAAATGGATTCTTGTCCAAGGATGAAGTAACCTAAGTTAAGAGATAAAATATAATGAAATTTAAATCTGAATTATAATTTAAGAATGTGTAAAACTACAAGCTTTCACTAGTGGTATGAAAGCAGATATAAAAGGTTGGTGAATTAGCTAAGTATTAACTGTGGTTGCCATGCTTTACACACACATGCTCACAAACCACAGCCAATTAGAAGGCAAACTAGAGAGAAATTATTTTTTATTCCATTTGAGTTCCAAGTGGAACACATGGCTTCAGGCTTGACGCCTTGAACTTTCAGTAGCCGTGATGTTGGTTTTACAGAGTGGCATTGCTAGCCTCACACCCAACGTTACCTTTTTTCTGGACAAGGTTTAGGAGCGTATTAGTCGGGGATCTAACCTCAGACTACCTGCGTCGTTGGAGAGCATTTAAACACTGAATCACGGGTAAGAGAAAGTAAAATGATAATGATGCAAAGACTGAAGCAAGGGGGATAAAAAAGAATGATAATAATATACCATGATACTTTAAAGATACTACTACAGAACAAAAACCAGTAGCAGGAAATCAACATAACTTGTCAAATAGCAAACTGTAGCACTTAGGTGTGACCAATTCAACTTCTTCATAATCACTTATACTTGTTTTAATTCATGAATAATCCCCATCCAGGCATTAATGAAAACAAAACACGTAGTTCAGATGAGTCTTTTTTCGGCGAAGTGATTTTCTTAGCTGTGTAATCAGAAATATATGTGTGAGTTACTTTGTATGTGTGTGTATATTAAGTTTGTCAAACAAAAACACAATTGGTTTTGGTTTATTTAACTAAACATGTGAAAGTTAGTAAGTTTTGTGTAGAGTTACATAATACATATCGGTCAAGAAGACTGCGTGTTAATAAAACTAGGGCAGTAACAAAGGTGATCAACTGTCACAAACAGTTGTTAAAAAGGAGTTACGTAATAATATGAATAGTCTAATGATTGAATTGTACTCAGGATGCATAAAGAAACAAAGTAGAGAATACGAAATTACATACGAGTTCAAGGTGAATACAAGAATTATAAGCAATTAAAGGAACAGGCAAACCAACAAAATTAAGTGGTCAAAAGTCAACAAAGTTGTTACTATGATAATAGAAGTGGTTGAGTAATTCTCTTTTGCATGAACAGCTCTAGTTTTCCTATATGAATGGCCGGAGCTTCAACGACAGTTAATCACCTTCGTTACTGCCCTAGTTTTATTAACACGCAATCTTCTTGACCGATATGTACTACGTAACTCTACACAAACTTACTAACTTTCAACTGTTTAGTTAAAATAATCATAACCTATTGTATTTTTGTTTGACAAACTTAATACAAAATAACCCATACATATATTTCTGATTGTACAGCTAGGAAAATCACTTCGCCGAAAAGAGAGTCTTCGTTGATCTACGTGTGTTTTTTTTTCATTTATACTTGTATCGCAGTTGAACTCAGTATTATTGCTGCCTCGATTGAATTGAACATAAAAGATGGAATTAATTTACCACTTTAATCTGACGGTTACAATTACATTTATATAGTTTCGGACAGCGCTTTAGTACAGTAATGACAAAAATAGTAACGAAAATCAATCTTACTCTAGTAACTGGAATCAGGTGATCCCAGATAATTTTGTTTTCTAATCCAAGTTCAATTAGATATTTACACTAAACAAATAGTTTTGTGTTGCTACATTCTCAAAATCTTAACAACAAAAGTGTGTGCATACGAAATATATTGATACACACGTCGTTGTACACACCTGTGATGATAGAATTATGATGTTTTAGCAAATAAGAGTAAACTTCTGAGAATCTAATAGACTGATGGTATACGATATGTCGCGAAGCTATTCAAATACATTAGAATAACTCTCTCCAAATACCATTTCACTTATAATCCTTTGCGTTTTTTGATGACTTAGCAATATATCTTATACCATCAGTCAGCTAATCTTACATACCCGTACTTGATCATGGAGTATTTAAGGGTATTGAACCCCAATTATCTAGTCCATATATAAATTAAATACAGGTTTTTCAAGGTTAGGGAGATGCAGTATGTGAAGGTTACCAATTCACTGTTATATTTGGAACAGTAAATTGTTAGTGTTACGAGCCTGTCGCTAAAATATGTTATGATGGAGTCTTACTGATTCGTAATTTCGTCTAACTTGACTAGAATGCGCCTCCAAAAAACACGAGACTATAAACAAGCGATCATTTGAAATGACCTCCCACATCGAAGTATACGCAAAGACCAGATTGGAAAAGCAATGACGACAACAACAGCAACAACGATCATAACCTTTTATTTTATGAAATACATGGTATCCTCTATATATATAGAAATCCTCAGAAAATTAAGCCATAAATAAACCAATCAAAACTGTCCAATATGATTATTATATCAGTGTACATGCATGAATCATGACTTCGCGGCTAACCAAAACGTTAGACCATCTTAGCACATACTCATTACAAATTTCTTAAAACAGCTTGTAACAGCCTAATTCTGACCAGTTTAGTTCATTCAGTCGTATGCTTTACTAACTAATTTTAACAAGTATACTACACATGTCACACTTATCATAATTAGTGAATACGACTGAAAGCGAAGCCAAGTGAAGTTACACTTTTTTTCCTTTACGTTCCCAGTAGAATATAGGGCCTCAAGCTAGTGGCTTGAAGTTTCTGTAGCAGTGTTTAGTTTTACAGGATGGGGTCACTAGCCTCATGCTAAGCATTATTTCTGGTTTAGCTAGGTAAAGGGGTGCGTCGGCTGGGGATCGAACCCCGGACCGTCTGCATGGTCGGCGAGCGTCCTAACCGCTGTGTCACCGACGCACGAAATTACACTGAAGTGTTAAAAATAAACTCATCTGCAAAGTATGTTTTTGTATTCCCCATAATTTATTTTTAAAAAATTGATAGTGAAACCCTAGCTGAAATATCAGTCATTATATATGTATGAAAAAGAAAAAATCAAAAGTCAGCACGTTTCCTCATGATGACTGAAGAATTACTAATTTGACGATGAAGACAAAAAAAATCTTTGAGAAGTATGATTAATTTATCGGATTAGTTATAAAACTTACCGAGGCAAATGTTAACATTGAATTGAATATGAGACTACGAAGTGGTTCTGGTCTATCTTCACGAACTAATTCAACGCATAGTAAAATATAATTCTATAATATATACGTAAAAGAAAACAAATGAATAGATAAGGATTTAGCAACTGCAAGAATTAAATAATGCCAGATTGTAAGGGAAGTAAGTAAACTGTTTTAATGAAGATGCAATACGCTTAAAGGTTGATAAGAAAGGGATTAGAAACTATAAATAATAGGTGGTGGTAATACTGTCAGTTAGTTAGGGTCTTAATTGGTTAAGGGAGTGACAATGGCTGTACACAATTCTAAATGCATAAATTAGGCTGAATAGCTGTACAGCCAATCACCTCACCTATATGCAGTAGACGAAGACAGAGTCCATTGGGAAGATTCGGAAGAATGCAATGAATCACCTTGAAGGCCTTTGTATCTTCCACTGAATGGCCACTATCAACTAAATGCAACAAAACAGAGCTGTCTGTCCGTCCTTTACTGAATCGCGATAAAACCTGGTTGTCTGATACAATGTTATGAGGTCTATTTTAATTGTGGCCTGTTCTGCTTCAGTTGCCAGTGTGTCGCAGAATTGTCTTTTGTCTCTAGTAGAACTCTTCTTCACTTCTTTATTCAGTACAGTGTACACTGAACTCAGCTTCTTCTCCTTCTGTTGTCCACCTTTGCATTGGTTCATTTTCTGTCTCACCATCCTCTCTTCTATTAGCTTCCAGGTGTCTGTTGAGAGCTATCCTTTGTCTTGACTCTTCTTTCTCACCAGAACGGTTGTAGATGTCTGCTTGAACACCACCTTCAGAGAGTCTCGGTATTCTACCCCACATACTTCCTCATTGATGCTACGTAGTTTCTCCAATTTTGCTCTGATGGCTGCAGTGAAGGTATCTTTTGCAGCTTATTCTTTCAGTTTCTGAATATTGAACTTGAATTATGGTCTGCCTCCAGCTGTTCTGAGGGATTTCAGCTTCAGAGAGAGAATGGTCTTAGCTAGAGTCTGATCGCCTCCTCGACTTTGTGTCCAGCAGGCTGGATCCTTACTTCCTTGAGTAGCATTGAGATGAAGTTTATCAGGTTTGTGGTGTGACCATCAGGTGAAAACCATATGGCTTTGTGTATATCCTTGTACTTCTACACGCTGACTCCGATTACCAAATCATTGAAGGCACACAAATCTGAGAAGAGTTCTTCGTTCTCATGCGTTTCACCCAAAGCCTCTCGACCTATGATGAACTATCTTCCTGTATTTTCTACTCCCAGCTTAGCATTCATGTCATCCATTAGGATTTTGATGTCGCCATTCAGGATGCTGTCCAATACGGTTCGCAGTTATCCATAACAATCTTTCTTCTTCTCTTGTTCTGAGTTGTTTGTAGGCACGTAGCATCGGACGATTGTAACCTTCCTTTCTTTTGAGTTGAATCTTGATGTTGTTATCCTGAAGGGGATTGGTTCCCACTGCATAAGAGCCTTGACTGCCAATGCTGAAATCGTGATAGCCACTCACTACCTCAGTATGCTCGTGGTTGTCGTCTGGGTGAACGGAGTAGATTACTGACCCCCCAGTTGACAATTTCGATATTCCACAACCATTTCACCTGCTCTCGCAGACTCCTAGCACTTCAATGCCATGTCTTCTCATTTCTGTAGTAACCTGAGAAGCCTTCCCAGGCTCGTGCATTCTACGAGCATTCCACGTCCCCTTGTTTATTTTCGCTTTCATCGAAAGGAGACACATCGGCTGACTGGCTTCCCGAAGGCTTTCACCAGCCTGCGTCATTTCGTCTCCCCGAATCAATCCTCCTTTTCCTGGGCTTGGAAACGCCTAGAAAACTAACGAGCTAGTAAACTAAGCGCGGGTGCCACTACACACAAAAAGAAATCAGATGCGTTCATAAAGCCACAGAATCCGCATTTGTAGTCTTGACACTATGAAGAGCAGCTGAACACCCTCAAAAGAATTCTTGAAAATGACTACCCCTTGTTGTTTGCGGAAATTTGACGACCATGGTTAATAACTTCACCTCACTTTTATTTGAATTCGAGAATAGAATTCGGATATGTCATGACTAATAGGAAAGGCTTTAGTTAGGTCCTACCTATTAAGCCAAATAAATAATATTTGACGAATGCTAAGAATCGATGGTTGAAGCTTGTTAACGATTAGGGTCGAAATAGTTGACAGTGTTACAGATATGTTCACTCCTTTACATTTTCCAGATTCTGAAAATCTGCACTAACATTCTTACATATATATTCGTTATATATTCATCCACTTATCATAGCCTCATTACACTTCAACCTCTATACTTTTGTGTGTTTCCCCGAAAAGTGGTACCTGCGGTGATAAACACTTTTGGAGTTCTCTGTCGATGAGTCAACCAGGTACACTGATATAAAAATAATTGTGACTAGCTACATGGGTCTACTGTATGTTCTGAAGAAATTTAATGGGATTATCACTATATAACCAAAAATGAAGCATTAGCTTTTGTTTACGAGCAGATTAAAAAATAATTTTAATTTTAAATATACTGCGGTAAACTAACCTCCATGAAATGATTAATGTGTTCTGGTCCTAAGAGAATTTCACTTAAATCTTCATTTATGCTTCCTGATGATCTACATTTATAAACGCCACTTAGAAGGCAATCCAATGTTTGGATGGCATTAGCAATTCGAATACGATGTCTATCGTATTGAGCTGTTTGAAGGCACTGGATAAATAATCTATTGAGTTGAGGCTATCAAGATAGAATAAAGGTCCAATAGTTATTCCAACATAAAAGCATTTGTAAAATCTACATAGAAGCAAATAGAATGATCATGATATATAGAAAGAACTAAAGCCATAGGGAATATGTTATTTAGAGGTGACCAAAATTAGCTCTTAACTGTTTCGGCTAAAATCACCATCAAGTCGAAACGATGGTTATAACTGAGGTCTTTAACTAACACCCACTTCTGGTTTACTTGACCACATTAATCCCAATGTGTTTCCAAAATGCCTCTAATTGTGCTTGTTATTGCAATTTGCAAAGAGCGTTCCTGCTTTCGATGTAAGTTATTTGGATGTTCATGAGTCCATATTTGTGCTGCAATTACAACTCAGCAAAGTTCTTCCAATAGGGATAGATAGTAGATCGCAACGGTTACCATTCAATCATTGAGGGCAAGTTTGTCTTTTGGGTCTTCATTTTTCCGACAGATGACCTATGAGACTCAGTCTAGTACAATTACATGGTCAAACATTATATTTTTGTCATACATGTAAAGAATTCAAGTCCGTTTACACACATGAAGTTTTTAAACGGATATGTGGTTTATCGGCTTAAGCAATTCACTTTAAGTCAAAAGGTTCAGCGACCGAGTCCCTCGCCCCCTATATTAGCGTAGAGAACTGATTAGTCTCATCAGTCCTAAGAGTGAGAGTTCCAGCCATTGAGAAAGTAAATTATCAGGTAACGCGGGACGAGCACTTACTTGAGTGCCTTACCTAAGCACTTACCTTTATGCAATATGACTTATAATTTTGAGTGTTCCATTCATTTTATTAGACTCTTCAAAGGAAATATAATACTATTATCATATAATGGTGACGACTAAATTAATTTCGGTCGACCAAATCGCATCATATTATTATGAGAATACTACTGAAAAGTACTCAGCACAAACCCAGAACTAAGTTGTCAGAGTCTATAACTTTGGCTGAATAATTCTGGAGTAATCCACCACTGTAAACCCCTCAATTGACTAACACAGCTTCAGCAATCGCTCACCAGTTAGGAACATATAATTTATCAAAGCTCACAAATCAGATATAACGCGATATACTATAGTATTGAAAAATAAGAAAAACTTACCTTTAACCGCACGAGGTCCTCCCAATTTGTCTTTTCGAAGTGTGCAGACAAACATTTGAGATTAGGCTAAGTATAAATCCATAAAACATAGCAATTACTTTCAATAGAAAGAAATCGTCCCAAAACTCTGCCCTCCCTTGTGTTATATCTTGCCCTTGAAACAACTTGTCGTATATTTGAAGAACTTTCTCCTTCAGTGAACCCCTCTGAGTCTTTTTACGTTCTGTAACCGTAGTCATTTTCAAAACGATGAAGGTCACAGGTGATCTAATAACCTACACCTATCATACAAATAAACAAAACTTTGGAATGGTTTGAAGTCAGTATTTCGGCCTTGAAAAGACACGCATAATACACAATACTTTCTTCTTGACAAATATACGTAAGTGTTTTAGGGTTTCAATTTGTTAGTATTATGTCATTATGTGGAGTATCGTAGCTCCCTATTTTCTGCGGTTCACTTAGTCGACCTTCACTAGGTCCAGTGTGTGTGCAGGTCACTCATGTAAGTTACTGGCCCTTATCTCAATATAAGTTGATGCAAAATGACATGTACCGCGAAATTCAAAGAAGTGATGACCTGGAGCGACTTTATTGCATATCCCCCCAATGACGCTTGTTGCTATGTTGCTATTGGTTGCAAGTGGCCTTGATTTTGGTAGAAGATATAACTGATGTAATATTGCGATTCCATAGACATAACTCAGGCGCATAGGTGAAAGGAAGTTATTATTCTGGAATAAGGACAATTGTCCTTAAATTGCTCATAAGGTAATGAGAACATTATTTTTCAGTTTATTTGTATATAGACTATTGTGCATCGAGCTGCACTGAGTTCCTAGTGCAACTCTATGTAACTGCATTTACATAAAGTAAAACATTACGAATGCTCCTGTTTTTAGAATAAAAAAGATGATTCTTTTCATTATTGTAGTAATAAAGAATGGAATTTCTCCAACGTCAGTGTTATTTGATTGAAGTTTTAATCTCTGTAGGTCCTTAAAGGAATAAATTCGGTACCGAGAACTCCTATAGAAACCGAAAGTACTTCTAGTTTACTAAATCTTACTGACTTGCTTTATAAATTTGATATTTGTCAAGTGTTCATTTGAAATCTGCTGGAGTATTCAGTAAAGTAAAAGTTGTAGTGCATAATTCCCAGACTTGTTGTAGTCATTGGTACTGCCAGGATACCGCTTACTCGTTTAATGAAGCCGAAATATCCAATTCTCGCTTTATTGAGGAAACGCTATATTGCCTGCAAAAGTAGTGCGTCAGTTTATGAGTTTCACAAAGCCTACAGAATGTTTTCTATTCAGTAATTACTGTTTGCGAATTATCCGAGAAAACACATTTCCGAGTGGGATGTAAAACAAGGCTGAATTCTTAAACTGTCATCCTTATATCAGTTCAATTCAGTCACACATATACTAGTAGGATAGTCTGTAATTGACTTTAGAGACTTATCAGGGAATAGTCTCATCAACTTACAGTTTGCTGATGATATTGTCCACCTAGACTATGAGAAGTAACCCCTGATGCTGTTGTCGATAGGCACTTGACTTCGTGCAATAAATTTGCTAAAGGGATTTTGTCTGACTTGGAGCATCCGCTTTACCCTCAGCTTTCACCTTGCATCTCCTCAGGTAGAACAAGGAGTAACTTCAGAAAACTGTATGCTCGCACGTCTAAGTATAAGAATTCTGTGACACCATACTTGGCACGTATTTTATGTGATGAAAATAGTGTCAGGCAAGAATTAACTAACCTTTTTTCATCTAGTAAATAAACAATTTCCTCCATCCATCCTTATATACCTTCAAGTTTTACTTTTATTACTTCTATTATATTTATGGTCCTGTTACTTCTCTGTTTTACTCTCATAATTGCAAACACCGACTTATCTCCATGACGGCTGTAATCTTTGTTTTTCCCTTCACCATATCATGTAAAGAGAACATTATATTCAAGATTTTTGAAACATGTTAGGATTTCTATACCACATTGCCAATACTGTGTGACACAAGACAACGGCAATTTTCACTTGTATTATTATTATTACCCCAGCTGTTATCATTATTATTGCTATTTCCACTTTATATGCTGCATGTTTTTGACATTACCTCTATTGTAAATGTGGAAAATTTTCTGTGCGATTAATTTTTATTTATAATTTGAGGAAATTAGATGCAATGTTGTGATTAATGCTGAAAATTCCATTCTGTACCACGAGTACTGTTTTTGGAATAAAGTAAATCATTATTATTATTAAAAATATGAAAAGAATACCTGTGTTTGATTAAAGGTGTCTGTGTTCTATCTCATGAGTAAAGCAGTATTATATGGCGAGTGCTGTTGACCCAATACAGCAACACTTGTTTTCGTTTAGTCATGAATTTCCAAAATAGCTGCAATCAGGAAGAGAGAGACTCGACTGAACAAGATGTTTCGACGCCGGCCTTTCGACTCCTTATGAAAAGGATCTAGTATTCCACCAAATAATGAGCCATGTAAATGTGACCTCAGTGGTTTGTAGACAGGCCATCTTTCCATGCACATCCTTAACTTTCAGACAGGTTAAAATACATGCATATTTCGTACGCAACATTCTTCCTTTCTTTTTCGTGAAGCGTGTGGGCAAGTCTACATTCTAAGAATGACAGTTTTCCTAAGGTACCTGCCCAAAAAAAGATTGATATAATCATCTGCTTCACAAAACGCCTGTTTACCGGTCTCATTCTGCACTGCAGCAACACGTTTTAACATTCTTAAATTGAATCGGGTGCGTGCTATTACTAATGAGGAGCTTAAATAACCTTTCAGAGAGTGGCGGTGATTAACAGTGAAAAAGATGAATCAGTAGGAGTAAAGAAGTGTGACTGTGTCGGTTTTCATTTGCCGATTTTAAGACTCAGTCGCTCACTCACTCATGAGGGTTATTGAAACAGTTCTAGCTATTTTGGTATAGATGTTCACATATCTGGTAAGCCATGCATCTGTATTCTCTGATAGACATGATATTCAGAACGTACAGACCTGAATATCTTACGTGCATGCGTTCCAGTATTACACCCACCTTCAACTCTGGGGTGAATACAGGTGGTTCATATTGTCTAATAAGCCACACATTATGCATCAAAGGCACATCTGTATCAATTTTTTAATCACATATACGTCATTCAATCCCCCAAGAGTAACGCTGGTAGGATCTTGTCATGAAAATACATACTTTCACTGATTTCAGCTCCTTTATACGCAAATAAGAGGCACTACATCATATAATTTGTAGGAATATCTCTCAAACATAATACAAATACATAGCATATTAATGTTCAACTCTATTTTTCAAGTACTATCCGAATGCCATTGGTTTCACGCTGTTTCATTCGTGTGATTAAAAATAAGATATACAGATGACGCTGAAGGGGACTTTTTCGGGTGTACATTAAGCATAGTAATTCTCCTGCTTACATTTTTACACAAAATCTTACAGTTAAACGGGATGGGTCGTTGATACTATTAGCAAGAAAAATATGATTTTTATTTATACCTCTTGCCGCGGGTGGGTGATTTCCAGGTTGTGTGACAACTGGATAAATACTGGATTTAGTTTTGGTAGCCATCTCAAGCTTCATTTTTTGGTCAATACATGGGAGACCTCTTTTAAGGTAAGGGGTGGGTTGTGTGTTGATATCAGTAGGGCTGACAGCATCTTTTTAGTAACTGATTTCGCCTGCCGTGATACTTTGTTTGACACGACGTCGCAGAGGTGTCCTGTAGTGAATGGTAAGCGTATTTTAAAACTGCTTGCTTTCCTAAGAATTTGCTGTCACTGACCAGCGGCTTGCATCCACAATGCATTGAATTCTGGCATTATTGGACAAGAAGTACTAGGTGACGATATCCGTAGTCATTTACCGGTACAACATGAATCTGGTATCTCACATACCCTGAAAAGTGTGCTTTTCAATGCTTTAATGGTGTACTATAGGGCACGTTGAAGACAGTGGCTTTCTGCATGCACCGAACACACTTTATCACTTCCGTGGAAATGTGATCATTAATTCTGTATAATGTATCGTAGTCAGGATAATTGTCAGACTTGATCAGATACCTGGAGGGTTTGTGGTCACACCTGCAGTTCGAATATTCAAAGAAATTCCCGAGTGAGCCTCATTTCAGAGTAAACCTTTATCAATGGCATTTCAACTACCTCACCTGGTTCAGTAGCCGATCTTAAGGCAGTAAAGTATGATGGGTTGGGAATATGGCTAACAACTTCATGACGTATGGAGTAATCGTATTGATACC